TGTTAAGACACAGATGTGTATAAATGTAAAAATTCATCGACCTGTATACTTAAGAGTATGCAGTTTAATCTACTTAGGTATACTATAATAAAAAATAAATTTTTAGAAAATGTCCCTACCAAGTATGAATCTTTGAATTCCCAGTGGGTTTACACTTGCAGCCAGACTGCAATTTTTTTTTTTTTTTTTTTTTTTAAAAGAGATAGGCTTTCACTATGTTGACCAGGCTGGTCTTGAACTCCTGGCCTCAAGCAATCCTCCCATCTTGGCCTCCCAAAGTGCCAAGGTTACAGGTGTGAGCCACCATGCTTGGCCAAGACTGTAATAACATTTTGATGTATGCTGTAACAAAACCATCAGAAAAGTTTTCTTTATTAACTTTTTTTTTTTTTGAAATGGAGTCTCGTTCTGTCACCCAGGCTGGGGTCAGTGGTGATCTCGGCTCACTGCAACCTCTGCCTCCTGGGCTCAAGTGATTCTCCCGCCTCAGCCTGGCTAATTTTTATATTTTTAGTAGAGATGGTGTTTCACCATGTTGGTCAGGCTGGGCTCGAACTCCTGACCTCAAGTGATCTGCCCACCTCAGCCTCCCAAAGTGCTGGGATTATAGGCGTGAGCCACTGTGCGGGCCTCCTCATGCCAATTTCTCAGCTTTGCAGGGCTTGTTCAGCAATGAAAATTGGGTCGTTTCTCAGATTTCCCTACTGCTGATCTAGGATCCAGACTTCTTGGGTCTGTTAATTCAATTACAGTTTACCTACTTTCCAGCACCCAAAACTTGCTGTTGAATCCTCTTTCTCTTCATCCTCACAGGCTTATACTATTTAAAAAAAAAAAAAAAAAAAAAAAAAAAAAAAAAAAAGTCCACTTCCTGTCATTGCACTGGAGATTTAGGAACAAGTGGACCTAAATATGTACGTTCAACCTACCATGCATAGTTACGCTAATATTTAAAATTAAAAAAAAAAAAAATTAGCTTAAAACCAAAAGATCAACTGGTAACCAAGATTTTCTTAAACTTGGGATTAAAAAAGCACTTTAGGCTGGGCATGGTGGCTCACGCCTATAATCCCAGCACTTTGGAAGGCCAAGGTGAGTGGATTACCCGAGGCCAGGAGTTGGAGACCAGCCTGGCCAACATGGCGAAACCCTGTCTCTACTAAAAATACAGAAATTAGCCAGGCATGGTGGAGCAAGCCTGTACTGTCATGCCAGCTACTATAGTCTGAGGTGGGAGGATCACTTGAACCTGGGAAGCAGAGGTTGTAGTGAGCGGAGATCTTGCCACTGCACTCTAGCCTGAGCAACAGAGCGAGACTTTGTCTGAAAAATAAACAGAAAAACTCTATGTTTTATAGATGAGCAAATGAAGAAATGAGAGGTTCTAATACTTTCTCTAAAGCAAACTGACAGCAGACGAGCCAAATCTGGAAGGCTTTTAAAAGTTATTAGAATTTATTACAAACGTTAAAGAACAGAAGGCCTTGCATTTAAAAAAAAAAAAAAAAAAAAAAGTTTTCATCAGCTCTTGAAACATTGGAAAATGGGACAACGTTGAGCCCACACTTCCCAGTGGCAATCATTTGAAGTTGAATCATGGCTGCCCCTTTCAGATGGGGTATGAGCCTTCCGGTCGACCCCTGCCCGCAGCAGCTACTTTTTTTGTTTTTTGTTTTTTTGAGATGTAGTCTGCTCAGTCGCCCAGGCTGGAGTGCAGTGGTGCGATCTCAGCTCACTGCAAGCTCTGCCTCCCGGGTTCACGCCATTCTCCTGCCTCAGCCTCCCGAGTAGCTGGGACCACAGGCGCCTGCCACTTCGCCCGGCTAGTTTTTTGTATTTTTTAGTAAAGACGGGGTTTCACCGTGTTAGTCAGGATGGTCTCAATCTCCTGACCTCGTGATCCGCCCGCCTCGGCCTCCCGCCTCGGGCTCCCAAAGTGCTGGGATTACAGGAGTGAGCCACCAAGCCCGACCTTTTTTTTTTTTTTTTTTTTTTTTGAGATGGAGTTTCGCTCTTGTTGCCCAGGCTAGAGTGCAATGGCATGATCTCAGCTTAGTGCAACCTCCATCTCCCAGATTTAAGCGATTCTCCTGTCTCAGCATCCTGAGCAGATGGGACTACGGGTGTGCGCCACCTTGCCCGGCCAATTTTTGTATTTTTAGTAGAGAAAGGGTTTCATCATGTTGGCCCGGCTGGTCTCGAACTCTCGACCTCAGGTGATCCCGCCCGCCTCGGCCTCCTAAACCGCTGGGATTACAGGCGTGAGCCGCCGCGCCCAGCCATTATTTATTTATTTATTTATTTAAATTATTATTTTTAATCAGGAGACATTTGAATCTGAGACAGGAAAGAAAACACTTTATTTGTAAAGCGAAAATGGAACTTAGTACATATGCCAAAATAAATCTGTAACACGGGCCACTTCTCTGGGCCCCATCTTGAGTAGGTTAAAGGGTTACCTTAGAGACTAGAAACACAATTAAGAGGCACAAATCCACACGGAGAATATGCATATTTTGTCTCCTTTCCCCCCAAAACAAGTTGCATATATTTGTGTAAACACTGGTTGATTTGTAAAACATGTCTAGTACTGCAGACAAAATGTGCTGAGATGAAAGGAAATAAAGCCACGAAAACAGGGCCAGGTACAATGGCTCACGCCTGTAATTCCAACGCTTTGGGAGGCTGAGGTGGGAGGATCACTTGAGGCCAAGGAGTTCAAGACCAGCCTGGGCAACATAGTGAGACCCCATCTCTGCAAAAAATAATTTTAAAAAATAGCCGGGTGTGGCTTGGCCCGGTGGCTCACGCCTGTAATCCCAGCACTTCGGGAGGCTGAGGCAGGTGGATCACCTAAGGTCAGGAGTTCGAGACCAGCCTGGCCAACATGGTGAAACCCCATCTCTACTAAAACTACAAACATTAGCTGGGCGTGGTGACGGGTGCCTATAGTCCCAGCTATTCGGGAGGCTGAAGACTGGGAGAATTGCTTGAACCTGGGAGGCAGCGGTTGCAGTGAGCCGAGACCTGCCATTGCACTCCAACATGGGTGACAGAGCGAGACTCCAATTCAAAAAGAAAAAAATTAGCCAGGTGTGATGGTGCACACCTGTAGTTTTAGCTGCTTGAGAGGCTGAGGCAGGAGGATCACTGAAGCCCAGGAGGTTGAGCCTACGAGTTATGAACATGCCACTGCACTCCAGCCTGAGTAACAAAGTGAGACCTTATGTCTTAAAAAAACAAGCCACTAAAATAGCAACAAGAGCAGTTTACTTGGCTTGGAGGTCAAAGTTGCATTTGATGATAAATTCCCAGAGTGCCTTTGGTCAGCGGGAGAAGAGATATTCAGGAACACTGGGGTTTGGGAGTTTTATTCTCTTCTTTCTTACACCCATAAAGCCATCTGTCCATTCATTCATTTTTTTTTTCTCTTGCCTATAGCAAAACTGAAAGGGCCTTTAAACTCCAGTTTAACTTTAAATTTTATTCCCAAGATCCTCTAAATAGCAGCAGCTCTCAAATCCCAGCTCCAGCTTAGTGCCTTGCTAGCAGTGATACTGTGAAAAAAAAATCTAGCTGGCAGAACCTTGGTTTCTCCATTTGTGAAATGAAAGTACTGGATGATTATCCTGGCTCTGCCAATTTCCTGGACTTTCACCTGCTTCTTGCAGTTGAAGATGGTCTCTGATATCATCCCAGTTGGGGTGGAATGTCCTGGGTTTTGGGTTTGTTTTTTGGCATGTCCAGCATTTGTGGAAAAAGAAGATGCCCTAACTATCTTTAGAAGGCACAAAACTAGGTTTTTGTTTTTGTTTTTGACGGAGTCTCACTCTGTCGCCCAGTCTGGTGCAGTGGCACAATCTCAGCTCACTGCAAACTCTGCCTCCTGGGTTCAAGCGATTCTCCTGCCTCAGCCTCCCGAGTAGCTGGGACCACAGGTGTGTACCACCACACCCGGCTTTTTTTTTTTTAATTTTTAGTAGAGATGAGGTTTCACCATGTTGGCCAGGATGGTCTCAAACTCCTGAACTCAGGTGATCCACCTGCCTCAGCCTCCAGGCTCAGCCTGGAATTACAGGCATGAGCCACTGCACCCGGCCCAAACTAGGTTTTGAAGGTGGAATAAGTTCTTCTAGCTGAGAAGGATCTCAACCTCTTGCAAGTTACTTTTTCACTCTTAAAGGCCCTTAAAGAAGCATTTGCTTAGCTCTACATCCAGGCCATCTCCGCCTTCCGGAAGAGCAACAGACCAGCAACTGGCATTAAGGTCACGTGGGTGGGTGGGGCATAGAATTGCGGGGGTGACCCGGAAGAGCAACAGACCAACAACTTCAACATTAAGGTCACCTGGGTGGGTGGGGCATGAATTGCGTGGGTGACGGTTCAGCCAATCCAGACAAACATGAATCTCATTGTTTGGAGAAACCAAGGCTATCTAAAAGAATTGAAATTACACTGACTAAGCGCTGGCTCTCCATCTGTTATTGTTGTTGAGTGCCTACTCTATGCCCAAAGCACTGTGTTTTTTGCCCTGAAGCTGGTGAATCGATCCTGCCCTCAGGGCTTAATAAAGTAGCTCTCAGTCAAGGAGGTTCGTGAGATTGACAAACTACAGCCCCAGAGGCCACCTGTTGGCGTAAAGTTTTATTGAACCACCAGCCACACTCATTCAGTCAACACACACAGTGTCTGTGGCAGCTTTTACCATTACAACAGGAGGGTTGAGCATTTGCAGCAGAGGTCGCATGGCCCCAAGCCTAAAATCTTTTTCTGCCCTTTTAAAAAAGTTTACCAATTCCTGCTAGAAGAAAAGAATGACTTTCAAGGCAAAGAATTTAGCGCATGAGTGATCCAGGGAACACAAATTATTTACATAATAAAATTTCAGAGAGATGGGGGGGCTGGCTGAATTTACAAAAGCACATAGATTATATGAAACTGATTACTGTGAAGAGATAAGTCATCTTAAAGTTACTTTACATTTAACATACAATTTATATTAAAGTTTTATTGGAACACCAGCCACACTCATTCGTGTTCACACAGTGTCTGTGGCAGCTTTTACATTACAACAGGAGGGTTGAGCATTTGCAGCAGAGGTCATATGGCCTGCAAAGCCTAAAATCTTCACTTTCTACCCTTTTACAAAAAAGTTTGCCAATTCCTGCTAGAGAAGAGATGACATACGACAAAGAATTTAAGCGAGTGATCAGGGAACACAAATTATTTACATAATAAAATTTCAGAGAGATGGGGGGGCTGGCTGAATTTAAAAAGCATGAATTATATGAGGCTTGATTACTGTGAAGAGATAAGTCATCTTAAAGTTACTTACATTTAACATACAATTTATATGCACTGGTTTAAAACACGCGCACACACACACAAAATGTAACACAAGCCAACTACTGATCTGGTACAGATGACAAAAGGGTGATCAGTTCCAACTTCAAAAGGAAAACTGGCTATGATGAGTCCATACTGAAAAAGTCACTGTCATTTATGGGTGGTCTAAGGGATTTTTTTCAAGGGTAATTTTACCTGCTTGATTGTTCATTTGAGGGTACACACTGAACTTTGGAACTACCACTTGCATGGGTTCATGCAACACTAAAGTGTTGGCTGGGCACAGTGGCTCCTGCCTGTAACCCCAGCACTTTGGAAGGCTGAGGCGGGAGGCTCACTTAAGCCCAGGAGTTCGAAACCAGCCTGGGCAACACAGTGAGACCCCATCTCTATTTCAAAAATTATAATAATAAAAAGAAAATAGTCTCTGTGCATAAGCACAACAACAAACCCCGCTAAGGTGTTGAAGGACCCATTTTAATGAACAGTTAAGAATGGTTTGTATGTTATACTCTGCTTTTTTGTTTTGACTTTTAAATACAGAAAAAGAGGCTGCTTTTGAATTTAGGGTTGATCAAAGCAGTTTGTCTTTTTTTTTTGGTAGAGACAGGGTCTCGCCATGTTTACCCAGGCTGCTCTTGAAGTCCTGAGCTCAAGCAGTCCTCCCACCTTGGCCCCCCAAAGTGCTGAGATTATAGGCAGAAGCCACCGCGCCCAGCATCTTTGCTATTGAAACATCAAATGAAATCATACTAATGTGAGAACCCAATTCCGTTTAAAGGAAAAGCTCATTAAATAACCATCACCATTGTCTGGCCCTGGGGAGACTACGGGAATTAATGAGCATTTATAGTTCTTGCCCTCTCATCCTCAAACAGCTTAGATAAAATCCCAAGGGACTGCTGCTGAAAGCGTCCTGCTGCAAATTACAAGAAAATCAGCCCAGCTTCAAGCAGAAAATGCCAACAACCAGGGCTGGGGAGCGGATTTCACGTAAGAACATCCAGACGCTAAGGAAACACCGAGGAATACTGTACAAGAGACACTGCAGTCACATTGTGGAAGCTGCCACTGAGATGCACAGGGCGTGTTTGCTTGGAGAAAAGGCTCCGACATTCCAAGGAAAGGTTCCAACATTACAAGCCGCTGTCCTTACGTGTAAAAGCTTTGAGGTGCACCCCTCTTCCACACTAGCTGATGTAGGAGTTAGAGGTAGTAAATGTGTGCATACAAAATTCAAACCTGTTTTGAAAAGCCCACCGTAGAAAGCATGCTTAAAAAAACGGAATTCGGCTGTACGCCAGAAAATCAGTAGCATTATGGAAGGAAATTAAACTAGAAGTTTAAAAACCAGCCAATATGCAGGTCCTTCCCCATGGTAGAAGGGAGCCTGGGTATTGTGCAATCTCACACCCACTGAAAAAATGCCATGCATGCCTCTAAATGCTCTGAGAAAGAACGCTTTGCACTAAGCCACAGCAACACACACCCTGTGACTTTGGAAAGCCAACGTGCAGCGCTTCATTTCTTATCCTGATGCACAAAACACAGGGCTCCATGGGCCTGAAATTTCAGTCCAGCCTGAAAAGACTAGTGAGCAGAGCCCTAAAATTGTCCATTCAAGGCAAAAAGCACTTTCTTATATCTCGTGACAAAAAAAAAAGAAACAAAAATGAAAATAGAACCACAAAATGGGCAGACATGGTGGCTCACACCTGTTATCCCAGCACTTTGGGAGGCTGAAGTGGGTGGATCACCTGAGGTTAGGAGTTCGAGACCAGCCTGGCCAACATGGTGAAACCCCCATCTCTACTAAAAATGCAAAAATTAGCTGAGTGTGGTGGTGTGCACCTGTAATCCCAGCTACTTGGGAGGCTGAGGCAGTAGAATCGCTTGAACCCGGGAGGCGGAGGTGGAGGTTGCAGTGAGCTGAGATCACATCATTGTACTCCAGCCTGGGTGACACAGCAAGACTCTGTCTCAAAAAAAAAAAAAAAAGAACCGCAAAACAGTATGTTGGTTCATTAGACTGCTTTTTTCAAGCCCCGCTTCCCCAGAATACTGCCCTAAGAGACAGCTATAGAGTCTCTGCTGGTAGCTGCCAAGTAGCAAAGATATTTTCAAGAGTCAAAAAATGAAATACAAAATTTGATTTACAACACACTAAAAATGCTTTCCCTCCCCAAACTAAATAAGTTTTTTTTTTTTGTTTTTTGTTTTTTTTAATTAAATATTTCCTCCTAGCCCTTTTGCTTGGGACTAGCTGGCAGTGATTTTCCCTGGTTACTCCTCCATCTGGGCCCAGGCCTCTTCAGCCTTTTGGTAGTACTGGTTGGCCAGCCGACCCTTCATGGCTTCCATCGCTGCCTCTGCTGCCTGGGTATACAAGTCCCCTGAAAGACAGCAAAGAGGGGCACAAAGAGGTGAACCACCTGTTGTTTTTGCCAGCCCAGTGTCCCCCATCACCCTTCCCAGAAGAACACCCTGAGATTTCCTTAAGAACTCAAACTACTCCGTGGGCCCTCTCCCTCCAGGTGTTCTTGGCAGGGCTCTAAAGGTGGGCCTGTGATCAACTCCGGCCAATCATAGCACTCTTCCCATACCCCACCAAGCCACAGTGATTGGTCCACATTTAGTCATGGCCAATCAGAATAAGCCATCTACACAATAACTACAGTTGGTTTGGGGTATGTAGATGATTCAATCTGAGCCAATGAGAATCAGGGTGAGAACTTTTGCAGAACTAATTGGGGATGTGCAAAAGCAGAAGAAATGAAGACTATAAACAGCTTCATGTCAGCTAGGTCAGGTTTTATCAAGTGAATTTGTGCAAAACATACAAATATACTTCGGGTTTTTGGAGCTTTTTGGATTTAGAAATTTCAAATAAAAGATTATAGATTTGCATCATTCTTCTTTTTTTGAGATGGAGTCTCACTCTGTCACCCAGGCTGGAGTCTAGTGGCAGGATCTCAGCTCACTGTCACCACTCTCTCTGGGGTTCAAGCGATTCTCCTGTATCAGCCTCCTGAGTAGCTGGGATTACAGGCACCTGCCACCATGCCTGGCTAATTTTTGTATTTTTAGTAACGACGGGGTTTCACCATGTTGGCCTGGCTGGTCTCGAACTCCTGACCTCAGGTGATCCGCCCACCTCGGCCTCCCAAAGTGCTGGGATTACTGGCATGAGCCACTGTGCCTGGCCTAGATTTGCATTATTCTTTGTTAATTTTTAAAATATAACTTAAAAACTTTTAAAACTTAGCCTCATAACTGTGAAATTAGGAACTTAGTATGTTTATTATATGTTAGGGACTGAATACTGTGTCCCCACTAGGCTCCCCATCCATTAATTCATATGTTGAACTCTTCATTCACAAATGTCACTGCACTGCATTTCGAGACACACAGTCTGTGTCTTAAGCCACTTTATGTTGCTATGACAGAATTCCACAGACTAAATAATTTATAATGAAAAGAAATTTATTTGGCTCACAGTTCTAGAGCCTGGGAAGTCCAAGAGCATAGCACCAGCATCTGGCAACGGCCTTGGTGCTGCATCATCCCATGCCAGAAGGTGGAAGAGCAAGAGAGGCAGAAAGCAAGCGAGCAAAAGGGGGCCAAATTTGCTTTTATAACAAAGCTACTTTTGTGATGACTGACCAATTTGCATGATAACAACATTAATCACCTCTTAACAGTCCCACCTCTTGACACTTTCACAATGATGATTACAGTTCAACATGAGATTTGGAGGGGGAATGTTCACACTCTAGCAGCCTGTGAGGAAGTGATAAAGCTTAAACGAGGTCATAAGGGTTGGGCCCTAATTACACAGAGCTCATGCCCTTTTAGGAAGCAGAAGAGACAGCAGAGCTCTCTTGCTGTCTCCCCACTTGCATCCAGGAGAAAGGTCATGTGAAGACACAGTGAGAAAGCTGTTGTCTACAAGCCAGAAACCAAACTGGCTAGCACCTTGATCTTGGAATTCCCAGCCTCCAGAACTGTGAGAAATAATTTTGTTTTGTTTTTTTGAGACAGGGTCTCACTCTGTTGCCCAGGCTGAAGTGCAGTGGTATGATCATGGCTCACTGCATGTGCCACCACACCCAGTTAATTAAAACAATTTCTTTTGTAGAGGCGAGGTTTACCTATGTTGCTCAGGCTGGTCTTGAACTCCTAGACTCAAGTGATCCTCCCATCTTGGCCTCCCAAAGTGCTGGGATTACAGGCATGAGCCACTGTGCCCAGCAATTTTTGTAGTTTAAACCTGTAAGTCTTTAGCATTTAGTTCTGGCAGCCCAAGAAGATTAATACATTATGTAACAGAAAAAAATATATACAACTTATCTATCAACTGATGAGTGGATAAACAAAGGCTGTATACCCACCAAATGGAATATTATGTAGTAATAAGAAGGAATGAAGTACTGATACATGCTTCAACACAGATAAATCTTGAAAAAGTTATGCTAAATGAAAGAAGCAGATACAAAAACCCACAAATTGTATACTCCCAGTTATATAAAATCTCCAGAATAGGCAAATCTATACGGACAAAAAGTATAGTGGTTGCTAGGATGGGGGAGGACTGCTAACTGGTACGGGATTTCTTTTTGGGGTGATGGAAGTGTTCTGGAATTACACAGCGGTGATAAGTGCACAACATTATGACTACTATAGTAAAACCCATTAGGGCCAGGTGTAGTGGCTCATGTCTGTAATCAAAAGACTTTGGGAAGCCAAGGCAGGAGGATAGCTTGAGGCTAGGAGTTCAAAACCAGCCTGGGCAACATAGCAAGACTCAGTCAATACAAAAAACTTTTAAAAACTGGCTGGGTGTGGAGGCAAGTATGTGTAGTCCCAGCTGCTTGGGAGGCTGAGGCAAGAGGATTGCTAGAGCATAGGAGTTCCAGGCTGCAGTGAGCTATGACTGTGCCACTGCACGTCAGCCTGAGTGACACAGTGAGATTTTATCTCAAAGAGAAAAAAGGGCCGGGCGCAGTGGCTCACGCCTGTAGTCCCAGCACTTTGGGACGCTGAGGCGGGTGGATCACGAGGTTAGGAGATCGAGACTATCCTGGCTAACACAGTGAAACCATGTCTCCACTAAATATATAAAAAATTAGCCAGGCGTGGTGGTGGGCCCCTGCAGTCCCAGCTACTCGGAAGGCTGAGGCAGGAGAATGGCGTGAATCCAGGGGCGGAGCTTGCAGTGAGCCGAGATGACACAGCTGCACTCCAGCCTGGGTGACAGAGTGACACTCCGTCAAAAAAGAAAGAAAGAAAGAAAGAAAGAAGGAAAGGAAGGAAAGGAAGGAAAGGAAGGAAAGGAAGGAAGGAAGGAAGGAAGGAAGGAAAGGAAAGGGGGCCAGGCATGATGGCTCACACCTATAATCCCAGCACTTTGGGAGGCCGAGGCGGGCAGATCACCTGAGATCAAGAGTTCAAGACCAGCCTGGCCAACATGGGGAAACTCCGTCTCTACTAAAAATAGAAAAATTAGCTGGGCGTGTGCCTGTAGTCCCAGCTATGCAGGAGGTTGAGGCATGAGAATCACCTGAACGTGGGAGGCGAAGGTTGCAGTGAGCACAGATGGCCCACTGCACTCCAGCCTGGGCTACAAGAGTGAAACTCTGGGCCAGGCATAGTGGCTCACGCCTGTAATCCAGCACTTGAGAGGCTGAGGTGGGTGGATCACTTGAGGCCAGGAGTTGCAGACCAGCCTGGCCAACATGGCGAAACCCCGTCTCTACTAAAAATACAAAAATTTGCTGTGTATGGTGGCACACCTGTAATCCCAGCTACTCAGGAGGCTGAGGCAGGAGAATCACTGGAACTCGGGAGGTGGAGGCTGCAGCGAGCCGAGATCATGCCATTGTACTCCAGCCTGGGCAATAGAGCCAGACTCCATCTCAAAAAAAAAAAAAAAAGGAAAGGAAAGGAAAAATCCCCCTATAAACTATAAACTTTAAGATAGCAAATTTTGTTATGAAAATCTCAATTTTTAAAATTGCAACCCCCCCCAACAAAGCCCTAATATATAACCATTAAAACAACAATGTTCATCTTCACACTAGCTCCATAAATTCCCCTCCCTGGAGGAAGAGATTCAGCCTGTCATCTTGTCATAACCCCAGTGGAATGGAAATTATGTCCCTCCCAGCCTGGCCCTGTCGCCGCCCAGGGGCAGGTCTGCCGGGCCCCACCTGATCTCTGCGGGTCCTTCTCCAGCCCATAGCCTCCTGTGAACAGCATCTCGGCCTCCCTGGCCAGCATCGTGTACCGGGGCTCGTCCTGCATTCCGTCGTACTCACCACCCTCATCACAGTCCGTCATCTCCAGGGCAGTTTTGTACCAGTGCAGGGCCTCCAGCCAGTCTCGGCACCTTGCCAGGAGATACAGAGGGAAAGGGGCAGGTTACCAAGGCAACAGGGCAGAGGGAGGAGGGCCTTCCAGCAGGAGGGGTGAGTCAGGGATCCCAGCAGGGCCATGACCTATGGTTCAAGACCTATCTTGCCCAAGCCCAATACATCTATGAAGCACCTTCATATTGTGATATTCATTCATCCATTCATTCACTCATTCATTCATTCATTTTTGAGACAGAGTCTCGTTCTGTCACCCAGCTGGAGTGCAGTGGTGCAATCTCGGCCCACTGCAGCCTCTGCCTCTCAAGTTCAAGCGATTCTCCTGTCTCAGCCTCCTGAGTAGTTGGGAGTACAGGTGCATGCTACCATGCTCAGCTAATTTTTTGTATTTTTAGTAAAGACGGCATTTCACCATGTTGGCCAGGCTGGTCTCGAACTCCTACCCTTGAGTGATCCACCCGCCTCAGCCTCCCAAAGTGCTGGGATTACAGACATGAGCCACTGTGCTCGGCCAATATTTATTAAGTGGGTAGTTGACCAGCCCAGGAAACAAAGAGAGAGACCCTGTCTCTACAAAAAACAAAACAAAACAAAACACAGTGACTATAGTAAAAAATAATGTAATCGTATATTTTAAAATAACTAAGAGTATAAATAGTTTATACCACAATGAATAAATGCTTGAGGTGATGGATATCCCATTTACCCTGATGTGATTGTTACACATTCCACGCCTATATCAAAAGAGCTCATGTAACCCATATACACACTTACCATGTACCCACAAAAATTAAAAAATACAATAAACACACAAAAAATTAGCTGGGGGTGGTGATGGACACCTGTAGCCCCAGCTATTCCAGAGGCTGAGGTGGGAGGATTGCTTGAGCCCAGGAGTTAGAGGCTGCAGTGAGCTATGATCATGCCACTGCACTCCAGCCTGGGCAATAGAGTATGACCCGGGGTTTTTGTTTGTTTGTTTTTTAAAAAAAAAGAGCAGTCAAGTTACTTTCCTTAATTAAATCAGTATATTACAACAATTTTCCAACAGATGAAAGTAAAGGGAAGCTTAGCTAGGACACCCCTTGAGGAAGGGGCCCATTTTTATAGTTCGCACGGAGGCAGCCATGAGCTAGCATTAGCAACGACTGAGTACCCTAGCTAAGCTGTCCTCTGACTTGTAGAGAAGTGGATTGGGGGCGGGGTCCTCTGCAGAGGCAGCTAGAGCCATCTGCACTAATGGCAATCACTGTATGCTCTGCTGTGCCGGCCAGCTGTGATTTGCCTCCAGCACAATGCAGAACTCACCCCAGAATAGCTGAGTCTCCTCTTCCAGCTCTGCCCCTCGACCCTCAACTCCTCCTACTGCAGCCCATGTATGGCCAAACCAGCCAGGGCACACATAGGTTCCAGCCAAACCCACACACCACAGAATACACAGCAAACAGGGCAGAGGGTTCTTTTCCTTTGGGTGTAATCCGTTTGAGTAATTATTTATAGTACATCAGGAAAGAGCAAATACAGTGACACAGATAAGGCCTGTGGGTCTCGTGAAACATTCCAGAAGCAATAGGTCTGATGACTCGCTGTCCCTGCCTTGCTGCCATAGTGCCCTCTGAGGCCCTGTCTGACAGGCGCTGCCTTCCAGGACGGGCTCCTGTTTGTCTGCCTTTGCACCAGGCTCACTGGCTGCCATCCATTCCCCAAACATACCCGCTCCTGCCTGCTGTGTGGCCTTTGCACCCACTGTGCCCTCACCTTGGAAGATTTCTCCTCCAACTCTTTCTGCACCTGACTCCTTGCTCTGGTTGGAACGTGTGTCCCCTCCAAAACCCATGTTGAGATTTGCTTGCCATTGTGAGGTATTAGGAGGTAGGATCTTTGAGAGGTGATTGGGCTTTGACGGTTCCACCCTCATGAGTGGATTTCTGCCATTATGAGGAAAGTGGATTTATTCTAAAAGGGCAGGTTTAGCCCCCTTTCGCTTTCTCTTTTGTCTTTTCTTGAAATAGGGTTTCACTGCATTGCCCAGGCAGGAGTGCAGTGACACAATCATAGCTCACTGCAGCCTCAAAGTCCTGGGCTCCAGGAATCCTCCCATTTTAACCTCCTGAGTAGCTGGGATGACAGTGGCATGTCACCATGCCTGGCTAATTTTTAAAATTTTTTGTAGGCCGGGCGCGGTGGCTCAAGCCTGTAATCCCAGCACTTTGGGAGGCCGAGGCAGACGGATCACGAGGTCAGGGGATCGAGACCATCCTGGCTAACACGGTGAAACCCCGTCTCTACTAAAAATACAAAAAACTAGCCGAGCGTGGTGGCGGGCGCCTGTAGTCCCAGCTACTCGGGAGGGTGAGGCAGGAAAAGAATGGCGTAAACCCGGGAGGCGAGGCTTGCAGTGAGCTGAGATCCGGCCACTGCACCACTTGCCATAGCCTGGCGACAGAGGGCAGACTCAAAATCTCAAAAAAAAAAAAAAAAAAATTTTTTTTTTTGTAGAACACACTCTTATCAGGTTGCCCAAAGAAGCTGGTCCTGAACTCCTGGTTTCCGTGATTCTCCTGCCACAGTGGCATGTCACCATGCCTGGCTAATTTTTAAAATTTTTTGTAGAGACACACTCTTATCAGGTTGCCCAAGCTGGTCCTGAACTCCTGGACTCAAATGATTCTCCTGCCTCAGCCTCCCAAAATGCTGGGATTACAGGCATAAGCCACTGTGCTTGGCTTGCTCTCCCTCCCTTTCCTTTCCTTCTGCCATGTGATGACACAGCAAGAAGGCCCTTGCAAGATGCCAGCATACTGATATTAGACTTCCCAGGCTCCAGAACTAAGAGCCAGCAAATTTCTGTTCATGAGAAATTCCCCAGCCTCAGGTATTCTGTTACCAGCACAGAACAGACTAAGACACTCAGCATCCCTCCAGTCTCAGCTCACATATCACCTCTTTAGAGATTCTGTCCCCAAACACTTTCTTACTACAACCACCAAAATCTTTAATTCTCCTTATTCACTTGTTTATCATGGTGTCCTCTGACTAGAATGTAAGCCCCATGAAAGCAGGAGACCCTTGTCTGTTTTGCTGTATTTGTCTGCTGCATTCCCAAGGTCTGGCAAACAGCATAGGCTCAATGAATGTCTGGTAAATGAAAAAATGCAAACAAGTGGCTGGCTGGCATGGTTCTCAGGAAACAACCTGGACTTTATTTTATCTTATTAAAAAATGGCCAGATATGGTGGCTCATGCCTGTGATCCCAGCACTTTGGGAAGCCTAGGTTGGAGGGTCTCTTGAGCCCATGAGTTTGAGACCAGCCTGGGCAACATGGCAAAACCCCAGCTCTACAAAAAATACAAGTTAGTTGGGTATGGTGGTGCATGCCTGTGGTCCTAGCTACTCGAGAGGCTAAGGCGGGAGGATAGCCTGAGCCTGAGAGGTTGAGACTGCAGTGACCTATGATTACACCATTGCACTCTAGCCTGGGTGACAGAGCAAGACTGTGTCTCAAATAAATAAATAGATAAATAAATAAAAGTTAAATTTAAAAAACGAACCATTCGAAAATTATTGGTGACATGCTCAACAAACTTTTTTTTTTTTTTTTTAAAGACAGAGTTTCATGCTTGTTGCCCAGGCTGGAGTGGAATGATGTGATCTTGGCTCACTGCACCCTCCGCCTCCTGTGTTAAAGTGGTTCTCCTCCTTCAACCTCCCAAGTAGCTGAAGTAGCTGGGATTACAGGCGCCTGCCACCACCCCAGCTAATTTTGTATTTTTAGTAGAGACAGGGTTTCAGAATGTTGTTCAGGCTGGTCTCAATCTCTTGACCTCGTGATCCACCCGCCTCAGCCTCCCAGAGTGTTAGGATTACAGGCGTGAGCCACCATGCTGGGCCGGATTTTAACACTGACTAGGAGACACTAGACTAGATTATTTCTCTCCTTTCTGCTCTGACCTTCCCTGGTCTTAAAGGGCAAAGCAAAATTGGCCTGAAAATATTAAATGGGAAAGGCCTAATCGCTGAGCCCCACCCACCCCAACCCGATGCTATCCATTGGTTAGCGCACCCATCCTTCCTTGGCGTTTCCAGCATCTTCTCCTTCCCCTACTGGATGGTAACTTCTGGGGTCTGAATCCCTTAAACACAAATTTGGGCCTGCACAGAGCCCTGCCTTACCCATAGCTGGGCCTTAATTAATGTTCTTTGCATGGGAGGGGTTGGAACTTCTTTGAATAAGGAAGAAGAATAAGGAAATGACTAGAGCAGAAGCAATAAAGAAATATTTTTGATAGGTTTAACTAAATAAATATTAAAAACCAGTGTGGCCCCAAACCCAGTAAACAATGGTCATTATGTGGCATCTGTGCCCTCCCTCTATCTATGGAAGACATATTTGGGGGAAAAAAAAAAAAAAAAGTCTTTTAAAGTGAAATGTGGCCAGATACAGCGGCTCACACTTGTAATACTAGCACTTTGGGAGGCTGAGGTAGAGGATTGCTTGAGGCCAGGAGTTTGAGACCAGCCTGGGCATCATAGCAAGCCCTTGTCTCTACAGAAAATTACAAAAATTAGCCAGGTATGGTGGCACATGCCTATGGTCCCAGCTACTCAGGAGGCTTAAACAGGAGGATCACTTGAGCCCAGAAGGTCAAAGCTGCAGTTAGCTATGATCACACCACTGCACTCCAGCCTGGGTAACAGAGAGACCCTGTCTCAAAAATAGATAAATACATAGATAAAAAATAGGCCAGGCATGGTGGCTCACATTTGTAATCCCAGCACTTTGGGAGGCCAAGGCAGGTGGGATTACCCGAGTACAGGAGTTTGAGACCAGCCTAGCCAACATGGTGAAACCCTGTCTCTATTAAAAATACAAAAATTAGCTGGGTATCATGGTACACATCTGTAGTCCCAGCTACTGGGGAGGCTGAGGCAGGAGAATCGCTTGAACCTGGGAGGTGGAGGTTGCAGTGAGCTGAGATCACACCATTGCACTCCAGCCTGGGAGACAGAGAAAGACTCTGTCTCAAAAATAAAATAAAAAGGCTGGGAGCAGTAGCTCAGGTCTGTAATCCCAGCACTATGGGAGGCAGAGGCAGGTAGACTGCCTGAGGTCAGGAGTTCAAGACCAGCCTGGCCAATATGGTGAAATCCTGTCTCTTTTTAAAATATAAAAATTAGCCGGGTATGGTGGCAGGCACCTATAATATCAGCTACTTGGGAGGCTGAGACAGGAGAATCACTTGAACCCGGGAGGTGGAGGTTGCAGTGAGGTGAGATTACACCAGTGCATTCAAGCCTATTCGACAGAGTGAGAGTCTGTCTCAGAAATAATAATAATACTAAAATAAAAACAAAAAATAAAGAGAAAAGTATACCAAAGGGTTAATAGCCTTAATATGTAAATAATTTTTACAAATCAATAAAAACCTATCACCTCAAATAGAAATAAAAGGTAGACAAAGGCCAGGAAGAGAAAGCACAGATGCAAATACTCAGTGCCCAGTTCCAGGCTCCGCCCCATGCATGATGCGCTTCCCCAGTGCACTCAATGGGCACCATATGTATACACTGACATTTGACTTAATACAATCATGTCAGTCTTTTTTGTTTACCTCCCTTCCATGCCAGTAGACAGTACATCGGAGGAGGGGTGAGAAGATGTAAGTTGGCTCTGCCACTTGTTAAATATTTGACCATGGGCAAGCCCCTTTACATCTCAGAACTAGTTTAGTCACCCATAAAATAGAGCCAAAATACCTGCCCTAGTCAGGCGTGGTGGCTCACACCTGTAATCCCACTAGGAGGCTGAGGATGGAAGTTTGCTTGAGCCCACGAGTTCGAGACCAGTCTGAACAACATAATGAGGCCCCATCTCCACAAAAAATTTAAAAATGTAGGTGGGTGTGGTGGTACATGCCTGTAGTCCCAGCTACTCAGGAGGCTGAGGTGGGAGGACTGCATGAGCCCAGGAGGTAGAGGTGGCAGTGAGTTATGAGGGCGCCACTGTCCTCCAGCCTGGGTGACAGAGTGAGATCCTATTTCTTAAATATAATAATAAGTAGGAAAAATCAATTAAAATCACCCATAATCCTAACTAGGGATACCCACTCTGACCTGGATGCTACATATTCTTTCAGATTTTTTTCTCAGGCAAATCATTACCTATACTGGCTACAGTGGCTGCCCCATATCACATGACTTTTATCTTTTTTTTGAGAGGGAGTCTTGCTCTGTCACCCAGGCTGGAGTGCAATGACGCGATCTTGGCTCACTGCAACCTTTGCCTCCTGGGTTCAAGCGATTCTCCTGCCTCGGCCTCCTGAGTAGCTGGGATTACAGGTGTGTGCCACCACACTGGCTAATTTTTTTTTTTTTTTTTTTTGTATTTTTAGTAGATATGGGGTTTCACCATATTGGTCAGGCTGGTCTTGAACTCCTGACCTCGTGATCCACCCACCTTGGCCTCCCAAAGTGCTAGGATTACAGGCATGAGCCACCACGCCCGGCCCTAATTTTTGTATTTTCAGTAGAGACAGGGTTTCGCCATGTTGGCAAGGCTGGTCTTGAACTCCTGACCTGAAGTGATCTGCCCGCCTTGGCCTCCCAAAGTACTGGGATTACAGGCATGAGCCACCGTGCCCGGCCATACCATGTGCTTTATGTGCCAAGCACTGCGAGGGTTACAGTCATCATCTCATTTACCCTTCATGGGACAACCCCAGGATACAGGTGCTATAATTACTCCCAGTTTGCAATATGAAGAAACTGAGGCCAGGGAGGTAAAATAAGTTGCCCATGGTTGCTGGACTGGTCATGGAGCAGCCAAGACTGGAACCCAGGCCTGTGCTGATACCTAGGGCAAGCGCCCAGCTGCAGCCCACATTCCCACCAACTCCTCCTGGGTGACAGCTGCAGTACCTGTCTGGGCTGAGGTTCTGGCCAGTGTCAAAAGCTCGCGCCATCAGGATCATGGACTGCCTGTCGCCAGCTTCTGCGGCCTTCAGTAAATAATCAAATCCTTTGGTTTTGTTCTCTTCTGTCTCCTATTGATACAAACCAAAGAGGGAGAAAGAAGAGTGAATGAGCTTCACACTCGAGGGCTGCCAAGATCTCACTACTCAATCTTCACCCTGTTTTTTGAGAGCTCTGGGCTGGGAGGCTATAGAAGTGAGGTAGGAGGGGGCACTTGACTCCAGAGGCTTGGCTCAGACACCGAAACAAATCAAGGACAAGCTAAAACAGGGATGGGGGTGGGGAAAGAGCTTTTCATAAGACATGCCCACCAGTGCGCCATGTCAGTTTACCGTTGTCAAGGCAACACTTCAGAGTTACTGCCCGTTTCCATGGCCATGGCCCCACAACCTAGAAGTTACTACCCTTTCCCTAGACATTTCTTCATAAACCGCCTCTTAATATGCATGCAATTAAAAGTAGGTATAAATCTGATGGCAGAACTGCCCTAAGATGCTAACCTTAGCACACGGCCTGTGGGGCAGCCCCGCTCCGCAGAAGCAGTCATAGAGCTGTACCACTGCCTAAGCTATAACACTGCCACTTTGATAAAGCTGTTTTCTTCTACATTTGGCTCATCCTTGAATTCTTTTCTGGGTGAGGCAAAAAACCCTCCTGGGCCAAGCTCCAATTTGGGGCCTGCCTGCCCTGCATCAGAAGTACACATCAGAGCCGGGCTGCGTGGCTCACGCCTGTAATCCCAGCACTTTGAGAGGTTGAGGTGGGTAGATCACCCGAGGTCAGCAGTTCGAGACCAGCCTGGCCAACATGGTGAAACCCTGTCTCTACTAAAAATACAAAAATTAGCCAGGCGTGCTGACGCATGCCTGTAATTTCAGCTACTCAGGAGGCTGAGGCACGAGAATTGCTTGAATCTGGGAGGCAGAGGTTGCAGTGAACCGAGATCGAGCCACTGCACTGCACTGCACTGCAGACTGGGTGACAGAGACTCCATCTTAAAAAAAAAGAAGTACACATCCGTAGTTTTTAGTATATTCACAGAACTGTATGACCATCAGTCAATTTCAGAATACTTTCACCAATCCAAAAAGAAATCTCATACTGCTTAACTGTCAATCTCCCTCTACCCCTACCCTCCTTATCCTGCTCAGCACTAGGCATCTATTAGTCTACTTTCTGTCTCTATGGATTGCCTATTCTGGATCTGGACATTTCATAATAATACAATCATACAATATGCGGTCCTTTGCGACTCTTTTCACTTAGCACAGTGCTTTCACGGTCCATCTGTGTTGTAGCGCGTATCAATATTTCATTCCTTTTTATGATCAAATAATAGTCCATTGTATGGATGTATCACATTTCGTTTATCCATTCATCTACTGACAGACAGTTGAGTTGTTTTCCATTTTTTGGCAATTATGAATAATGCTGCTATGAAGATTTGTGTACAAGTTTTTGTGTGAAAGTGTGTTTTTATTCTTTTGGGTTTATAGCTATGAGTGAAACTGCTGGATCACATATAACTTACCCAGTAAAAAGTAGACAATGCTCCAAATCAGGGTTTGATTTATTGTTTTTTTGATTGTAAGAAAGGCGTAGATAACATGAACACTACAGATGAAACTAACAAGTGGGTCATGCCTGTAGCTATTCTATTGTGATGAGTGCAAACTAACAAGTGGGTCATGCCTGTAGCTATTCTATTGTGATGAGTGCAGGAAATTGAAGAAATATCCTTCCAGTATTTAAAACTACCGTCTGTTTCAGGAAGGAGGTCGCTCACATCAGAGGCAAATGAAGTTCCAGTTCTAACATAGGTCTTTGTTAATTTCACTTTCATCTCATTTATGTCAGAACTACACTTCTCCATCAATTGCAACCATAGGTTGGCTATGGGTACAAGAGTTTGCAAAAATCAGTGCAAGTATTGGGTGAGAGTTGATGATATGAAATTTGCTTTTCATTGTTATTTGTAAGCCGTATACCACATATTATTTTTTCTTGTTTTTTTCTGTTTTGTTTTGTTTCTGTTTTTTTGAGACAGGGTCTTGATTTTTGCCCAGGCTGGAGTGCAGTGGCTCCATCATGGCTCATGGAAGCCTCAAACTCTTGTGGTGTATGGTTTTTATCCTCCCGCCTCACTCTCCCGAGTAGCTGGGACTACAGGCAGGTGCCACCACACCAGGCTAATTTGTTTTTTGGGGGTGGCCTGAGATGCCACCGACCTCGGTTTGTAGGGATGGAGTTTTGCTACGTTGCCCAGACTGGTCTGAAATTCCTGGACTCAAGCAATCCTCCTGCCTTAGCCTCCCAAAGTGCTGGGGTTACAGGTGTGAACCACCATGCCCAGCTTACCTATTCTTTAAATTAGCAAAATTTAATATATTTACATATATATGTGCACACATTTCCTTCCCACCCCCAAGAGCCAATTGTTAAATGTTCCCCAGCACACCACTGGCTGAATGAGCACAGAGATTAGAGAGAAAGGCTGGGAGTGGTAGCTCACATCTGTAATTCCAGCACTTTGAGAGGCCGAGGTGGGCAGATCACCTGAGGTCAGTAGTTTGAGACCAGCTTGGCCACATGGTGAAATCCCATCTCTACTAAAAATACAAAAATTAGCCAGGCGTGGTGGCGCATATCTGTAATCCCAGCTACTTGGGTGGCTAAGGCAGGAGAATTGCTTGAACCTGGGAGGCGGAGGCTGCAGTGAGCCAAGATCGTGTCACTGCACTCCAGCCTGGGTGACAGAGCGAGACTCTGTCTCAAAAAAAATAAATAAATAAATGAGAGAGAGAGAGAGATTATAGAGAGAGACAAAAAAGTGAAAACTCCTCTCTTCCAACCAAACCTCCTCCTCACCATCTAAAACATGAAACAAAAACTGCTGTAGGCGACCCCCTGCCCACATGTCAAATGATGTAATCTGACTGAACCATAAGAAACTGCCAATATTCTACCATTTATGACCTTCCAAATAGCAGTTTCATGAGGTTCCACTCATTATGCACAAGGTCAGTCACTACAGCAATTTTTGTGATATCAAAAGAATACAGCCGACTCACGTGTCTATCAATAGCACACAGGTATGCCTCACACATATAATAGAACATTACACAGCTGTCAAAAGAATCGGGGAGCTGGCTGGGTGTGGTGGCTTACACCTGTAATCCCAGCACTTTGGGAGGCTGAGGAAGGCAGATCACTTGAGGTCAAAAATTCGAGACCAGCCTGGCCAACATGGTGAAACCCCTTGTCCACTAAAAATACAAAAATTAGGCCAGGCGTGGTGGCTCCTGCCTTTAATCCCAGCACTTTGCGAGGCAGAGGTGGGTGGATCACATGAGGTCAGGAGTTCGAAACCAGCCTAGCCAACATGGTAAAACCCCACCTCAACTAAAAAAAAATACAAAATTCAGCCAGGCGTGGTGGCAGGCACCTGTAATCCCAGCTACTCAGGGAGCCAAGGCAGGAGAATTGCTTGAACCCAGGAAGCAGAGGTTGCAGTGAGCCGAGATCATGTTATCACACTCCAGCCTGGGGGACAAGAGCGAGACTTCACGTCAAAAAAAAAAAAAAAAATACCCGGATGTGGTGGCGGGCACCTATAATCCCAGCTACTTGGGAGGTTTAGGCAGGAGAATTGCTTGAACCTGGGTGGTGGAGGTTGCAGTTAGCTGAGATTGTACCACTGCACTCCAGCCTGGGTGACAGAGCCAGATTCTGTCTCAAATTTAAAAAACAAAAAAAAAAGGATCAGAAAGCTATCTCTATACCACTGAGGTAAAATGTCCACAGGACACTGTCAAGTGAAAAACACTAGGTTCAGGAACGTGTGTGTAGGATGCTAACTTTGGAGGAAAAAGCAGGGTGAAAATAGGAGCCCATTTCATATTTGCATATGGAAACTGTGTACTGGAGTGAACAATATCCTTCCAATACTCATGTCCACGCAGAATGTGATCTGATTTGGAAATAGGGTCCTTGAAGATACAATTAGTTACACTGGCTGGGCACTGTGGCTCATGCCTGTAATCCCAGCACTTTGGGAGGCTGAGGCAGGTGAATCACCTGAGGCCAAGAGTTCGAGGCCAGCCTGGCCAACATGGTGAAACCCCATTTCCACTAAAAATACAAAAATTAGCCAGGTGTGGTGGCAGGTGCCTGTATTCCCAGCTACTCGGGAGACTGAGGCAGGAGAATTGCTTGAACCTGAGAAGTGGAGGTTGCAGTGAGCAGAGATCCCACCAGTGCACTCCAGCCTGGGTGACACAGCGAGTCTCCATCTCAAAAAAGAAAAAAAAAATTAGTTATATTAAGATGAGGTCACGCAGGATGTTAGGTAGCCCCTAAATCCTATATACTGTTGTCTTTATTTTTTTTTTTATTTTTTTTTTTGAGACAGAGTCTCGCTGTGTCTCCCAGGCTGGAGTGCAGTGGCGCGATCTCGGCTCACTGCAAGCTCCGCCTCCCGGGTTCACGCCATTCTCCCGCCTCAGCCTCCCAAGTAGCTGGGACTACAGGCGCCCGCCACCACGCCCAGCTAGTTTTTTGTATTTTTAGTAGAGACGGGGTTTCACCATGTTAGCCGGGATAGTCTCGATCTCCTGACCTCGTGATCCACCCGCCTCGGCCTCCCAAAGTGCTGGGATTACAGGCTTGAGCCACCGCGCCCGGCCCTATACTGTTGTCTTTATAAGAGCAGAAGAAACAGGGAGACAAGAACACAACGGGAAGATGGAGACAGAGATTTCAGTGATCTAAGCCAAGGAACGCTGAAGATTGCCAGCAACCCCCAGAACCCAGAAGAAACAAGGAAGGATTCTCCGCTCCAGCCGTCAGAGGAAGGCATGGCTCTACTGACACCTCGATTTCTGGACTTCTAGCTTCCAAAACTGTGAGAGAACAAATTTCTGTTGTTATAAGCCACCTGGTTTGTGGAATTTCTTAAGGAAATCCTAGTAAGTGAATACACTCTGGAATTATATATAAGTAACAATGATGGCTACCTGTTATTCAGAGGATGAGAGGATGTGGGGAAGGTGGGAGGAAGAGTTTTCACTGTAAAGCTTTTTTTTTTTTTTTTTTTTTGAGATGGAGCCTTGCTCTGTTGCCCAGGCTGGAGTGCAGTGGTATGATCTCTGTTCACTGCAACCTCTGTCTCCCGGATTCAAGTGAGTCTCCTGCCTCAGCCTCCGGAGTAGCTGGGATTACAGGCACATGCTGCCACACCTGGCTAATCTGTTATATTTTTGGTAGAGACAGGGTTTCACCATGTTGGGTAGGCTAGTCTTGAACTCCTGACCTGAGGTGGTCCACCTGCCTCCACCTCCCGAAGTACTGGGATTACAGGTTTACAGATGTGAGCCATTGCACCCAGTCTAAGCTTTTTACATACATTAAAAAAAAAAAAAAACTGTTTTGGTTGGGCATGGTGGCTCAGGCCTATAGTCCAAGCTACTCCGGAGGCTGAGGCAGGAGGATCACTTGAACCCAGGAGGTCAAGGCTGCAGTGAGCTATAGTCATGCCACTGCACTCCAACTTGGGTGACAGAGTGAGAATCTGTCTCTAAAATAAATAAATAGTCTGGTGTGGTGGCTCATGCCTGTAATCCTAGTATTTTGGGAGGCCAAGGTGGGCAGATCACCTGAGGTCAGGAGTTCGAGACTAGTCTGGCCAACATGGTAAAACTTTGTCTCTACTAAAAATACAAAAATTAGCTGGGTGCAGTGGCAGGCACCTATAATCCCAGCTACTCGGGAGGCTGAGGCAGGAGAATTGCTTGAACCTGGGAAATGGAGGTTGCATTGAGCCGAGATTGTGCCACTGCACTCCAGCCTGGGCAACAAAGCAAGACACTGTCTCAAAAAACAAAAATAAAACAATAAATAAATAAGTTTCTAATCACATGAATGTAATTACCAATTCAAAAAGCTAAATTAATAAAGGACTTTGGAGTATCTTTCCACCCTTGAGTCTGAGATCCATCCACCCGCTGGGCCACAGCCAAACCCGTCGAGGAGAGCTGATGCCCTGCACCCCCGTTGAGCCTAGGCCACCCGTCCACGCGCAGCTTTGGTCCACATGATGGGGAGGATGGGAACAGATATACTGGGAGGATGTGCCCACCAAGGGCCTCTCAACTTCTCCTGGAAAAAGATCACATTCCCTGGGCCTTGCCAGATCTCATTCATTCAGTCCTTTCCTCCTTCTGCTCACAGACCAGGGACAGAAGAAGGAGCAGACCCCTAACACAATTTCCCTGCACGTCCACACCCTGCTGCTTCAGCTCCAGCTCTGCCTCAGCTCCTGCACCTCTAGCTACACGGGTACACCTTGTCCTTCACCTCTGGGCCTAAGCACATGCTGTTCCTTCTATCTGAGCTGCTCACCTCCCCCACTTGGCCTGGCTCACTCCCTTTGGGCCTTCAGGTCTAAAGCAGATATCCCCCCAACTTTTTTGTTTTTTGGAGACAGGATCTCACTCTGTTGCCCAGGCTGGAGTGCAGTAGTGCGATTTCTGCTCACTACAACCTCCGACTCCCAGGTTCAAGAGATTCTCCCACCTTAGCCTCCCGAGTAGGTGGGATTACAGGTGCGTGCCACCCCATCCAGCTAATTTTTGTATTTTTTGGTAGAGGCGGGGTTTCACCGTGTTGGCCAGGCTGGTCTCGATCTTCTGGCCTCATGTGATCCACCCACCTCAGCCTCCCAAAGTGCTGAGATTACAGGTGTAAGCCACCACTCTGCCCTAAGGTAGGTATCCCTTTATCTGTTCATTCCACGAATCTGTACCGAGCATCTACTCAGTGCCAGGCCCCAGTCACTAGAGATACATGCAGAATTGATGAACAGGAAGCCTGCACCAACCCCTCCAGGCCCCAGTTACAGCCCTTCCTCACGTGTTTCCACTGGTGTCTTCTGCTTCCCCCATCACACTATGTTGTTATTGCCTGGAAACGTGACTCACCTTCCCCTCCCGCTCCAAAGACAGAGATTGATTCTGCCAGTTTCAACTAACTTGGAGGGGCCTGCCCCCAAACCAGTGCCTGGGACATTTTTGTGGCATGTATAAATCTCAGGATAGAAGGCAGGTGAATGCATGGCTTCCAGGATGGGAGGCAGGTGAACAAGAGGGTGACCAAGTCCCACCCCCACCTGCAGCTGGGTCCCCGTCACCTGCTCACCTTCAGAGAGACGTCAGCTAGGATGTGATGGGGCAGCTGCGAGTACATGAGTCCCAGGCCCACGATGGCCTCCAGCTCGCCCAGGTCGGCCGCATGCTCCAGGTGGAAGACAGCCGACTCCCGGTCCCACTCCTCGCCCTTCTCGCAGAAGCGCCCACCCTCGTGGTAGCGCACCATGGCCAGATGGACCTGCCACACAGACTACAGTGTCGGCCTGGCTGTTTGGCAGGCCGAAGCCGCACCCAAGACCGCCCAGCCAGCCTGCAGGAGGAAGTGATTAGCGGAGGAGAGGCTGGAGCCAGGGGGCTCCAGGTTAGTGCAGACAGGGCTCCAAAATGGGCATCGCCGATACCTTCCCCAAAATGGACTTCCCGATTTTCTTTTCGAGGTCCAGAGCATTAAGCCTTTGCACTTCCAGGGCCACGGCCGAAGCCCTCGGCAGGTGGAGGCGGGAGGAGTTGAGGAGATTCCACTTCTCTACACAGACCTGAAGGGAAAGAACCGGCCAGAGAAGCGAGGGGCTGGGGGTGGACGCAGCATGACAGCTGTCAGCAGCCCCTACTACACAGGAGCCTGGCTAGAGGGAGAGCGAACCCTCGTGATGTCAAAGTTTATTGGCCATATATGGCTCCAATTTTTTTTTGTTTGTTTGTTTGTTTTTTGAGACAGAGTCTCACTCTGTCGCCCAGGCTGGAGTGCAATGGCACAATCTTGGCTCACTGCAACCTCCACCTCCCAGGTTCAAGCGATTCTTCTGCCTCAGCTTCCCGAGTAGCTGGGACGACAGGTGCACGCCACCATGCCTGGCTAATACGGTTTCATTTTTAATCATCCAAATTCCATCAGCTCATGCATTCAAGAGCTAGTGGAACAGATTTCAGCAGCTCAAGGAAGCGTTTCCCCGCCATTTACCAATCTGGATTTGGTTGAGGGGGGGTTTGACCCTAAACCACCCCTCTTTGCCAGCTCCTCATGCAAGGCACCAGAAGACTCCCACTTCAGACCTTCCAGCAAATCCCCTTGCTTTCCTCTGCAAGTCACCACAACGACATGAGCAACATCAGCAACGTGCTTTAGGAAACGGGTTTAAAAAACACATCGTTTCTCCTGGCCAAAGATGCCCCGTCCAAAGGCCCTTGCAGGATACAGCCAGGCAGCTATGTGTGTGCACGCGTGCATGCTAAACATCTTGCAATGCACAGGGCAGCCCCCTCAACAAGGAACGATTCAGCCCAGAATGCCAATACTGCCTCACTTGAGCAACCCTGTTCCGTACCTAACTGAGAAGATCCTAATCTGGCTACAAAATGCCACAGGGTAAATCATCAGTGTTCTTGGAGATGCCAGAGTCATGCCTGTGGTGGAGGTCAGGGAAGGCTCCCGGACGAAGGGCCCTGGGATCCAGGCTTGGACAGCAGGTAGGATTTGAAGAGAGATGACAGAGGGGGAAAAAGGACCTTGCAGTTGGAGAGACTTGTCTTAGCAAAGGCTCCAAAGGTGGGCGGTTCAAAGCGTGTGAGGGAATCACTTAGAGGGGTGGGTGGGGCACAGGGCTGGTCTTTCCCAGCTGTGCTGATGCTTGTTAGACATACAAGCAAGGGTAACCTAGGGAAAGTTGCTTAAGAGCCCGGTTTTCTCATACATAAAACGGGGATGAGAGTAACATTAGCCTGTCTCTCTGGGTGATTGCAAGAAGGAAATTGATTACCACAAAGCGTCTTCATGGCAGGCACTTAAGACAGGAGCCGTAGCTGTTGCGATTTCCCCTCCAGGATGGGGCTGTCCTGTTCTTCTCTAATCCTCCCCACAAATCCCCCAGCATCCTGTCCTGCAGAGGTTCAAAGAGCCTTTGCCCAGGAGATTTGCTGCTTTGCAAAATCTTCCTTTAGCACATGTGCCAGACAGAAGCGCAGGCAGCAGAGATATGAGACAGAAGAAACAGCAACAGAGACTGGAGGAGGCAGGGAAGCGGTGGTGACAAGGGTGCCTTGGGGCGCATTACCCGTCCGCAGCTGCCCAGGCTGTCTTCGTCAGACTCGTACTTCCGGTTACCGTTTGAGTGGCCCTGAACGGAGGAAGAAATTACAGTGATCCAAAGCGCAAGGCTTCTTCCCAGGAACCTCTCCTGAGAGCTGGTCCAGCCCTCCTCCCTGGAATCAGCCTGGCCCTCGCAGGTGACCCTTATCTCAGAAAACTGGCCCTATGTTCCCAGGTGACACTGGAACCCTTCTCTGCCAAGCAGAAGGAATGCTGGGTCACAGGCAGGGATGACACGCTGGTGCAGCCACAGCCTCACTGTCCCCCTCCCTGTGTGAGCAGGTGGAACTGACTCGATGGCGCAGGATCCCAGCACAAAGCCACTGGGGTAACGGGCTCCCGTCCTACTGCGTGTTTAGTTTATATTTTAATTTAGACATGGGCCTTGCTCTGTTGCCCAGGTGGGAATGCAGTGGTGCAATCAAAGCTCACTGCTGCCTCAAACTCCCCAGGTTCAAGCAGTCCTCTCACAGTGCCTTCCCAAAGTGCTAGAATTGCAGGTGTGAGTCACCAGGCCCAGCCGTTTTGTGTTTTCGCGATTTTGTTTTGTTTTGTTTTTGTTTTTGCTTTTTTGAGACAAAGTCTCACTCTGTGGTTCAGGCTGGAGTGCAGTAGCATGACCTCGGCTCCCTGCAACCTCCACCTCCCAGGCTCAAGTGATTCTCATGCCTCAGCCTCCCGAGTAGCTGGGACTACGGAAGTACACCACTGCACCCAGCTAATTTTTGAGTTCAGACGAGGTTTAACCATGTTGGCCAGGCTGGTCTCGAACTTCTGGTCTCAAGTGATCTGCCTGCCTCGGCCTCCCAAAGTGCTGGGATTACAGGCATGAGCCACCACACCTGGCCAGCATGTTCTTTATTCACAATCATAAAGCTGAGATTAGAGGTGTCCCAGCAAGACAGGCCTTGATGTGTATGCTCCATTTCAGCACAGGGTAACACCTCTAAATGGCAGATACTGTCTGAGGCCGCCTTCACCAGGCTGCTGCTGGGAGGCTGCCCAAGGAAACTGACCTCCAAGGCCCTCCTCCCCGGGGCCTCACAGGATCCTGCCAATAAGTGGGTCTAGCTATTACCCAGGATCCTCTCTGCTCAGCAGCCTCCCACTTCACCATAAGATTTGTCAGCCATCATTAGCTTTATATCTAAGCCTCCACACTCACCCCATTACTGGTCCACATGATCCTGTTTTATCTTCTCCTTTGTATTTATCTTTATCTGACATACTCTTTTATTTTATTTTATTTTTATTTTATTTTTGAGACAGAGTCTCACTGTGTCACCCAGGCTGGAGTGCAGTGGCACGATCTTGGCTCACTGCAACCTCCGTCTTCTGGGTTAAAGCAATTCTCCTGCCTCAGCTTCCTGAGTAGCTGGGATTACAGGCATGCACCACCATGCCAGGCTAATTTTTGTATTGTTAGTACAGATGGGGTTTTGCCATGTTGGCCAGGCTGGTTGGTCTCGAACTCCTGATGTCAAGTGATCCACCCACCTTGGCCTCCCAAAGTGTTGGGATTACAGCCATGAGCCACCGTGCCCAGCCTGAAATACTCTTTATTAATTTACTTGTTATCTTCTCAGAACCGACTCATATTCCCCCTTCAGGAAGGGAAGTTTTCGTTTTCCTGGAGGATAAATGAGGCAACAGGTGACACCGGTCTCATTTCCTGGGGGTTCCTTACATGTTCTCGGGGCTCAGGGTCATCCAGCTCACCCCGCTTCTCACTGGGGTATCCGCTGTCCCCACTATTCTCAGAGTCCTGTGGAGAGAAGATGGCTTTAGGGTCCTAGTGGTCCCCTGAGTGCCTGGCAATGGTTACAACATCTGGACACCCCAACCGTTGGCTTTCTCCCCTCCGTCCCATTACCTAACACCCTGCTCCTGCTGTCCCTTGCCGACTGGGTGACAAGCGAGCAGTATAAGGTAACAGTAAGGACCTTGGGCTCTACAGTCAGATGACCTGGGCTCGAATCCTGGCTTTCTTTCTTGCCAGCTGAGACCTTGGGTCGTTGTTTTAACTTCTCTGAGCATCAATGTCTTTAGTTATGGGATTCATTATAGTCCCTACATCAAAGGGCTGTGTGGGTGAAACGCATTGTTATATTCTGAGAGTGTGGATCACAGGAAGTGCTTTACTGAGTGACTCACCCATTTCATAGGCAGAAAAACAAAGGCTATGACCCACGGACAAAAATATAGCATTGGGAACAATATTTACCACAAATAAGCCCTCAACCAAAACCACACAGGTCACCTGTGCATATTTTTTTTTTTTTTTTTTTTGAGATGGAGTCTCACTCCGTCACCTAGCCTGGAGTGCAGTGGCACGATCTCAGCTCACTGCAACTTCCACTTCTTGGGTTCAAGTGATTGTCCTGTCTTAACCACCCGAGTAGCTGGGACTACAGGCGTCTGCCATCACACCCGGCTAATTTTCATAGTTTTAGTACAGACGGGGTTTCACCATATTGGCCAGGCTGGTCTCGAACTCCTGAACTTGTGATCCACCTGCCTCGGCCTCCCAAAGTACTGGGATTACAGGCGTGAGCCACCACGCCTGGCCCACCTGGGCAATTTTTTTTTTATTTTTTTGAGACGGAGTCTCGCTCTGTCGCCCAGGCTGGAGTGCAGTGGAGTGATCTTGGCTCACTGCAACCTCTGCCTCCCGGGTTCACGCCATTCTTCTGCCTCAGCCTCCGGAGTAGCTGGGACTACAGGTGCCCGCCACCACACCCGGCTAATTTTTTATATTTTTAGTAGAGACGGGGTTTCAGGGTTTCATTGTGTTAGCCAGGATGGTCTCCATCTCCTGACCTCATGATCCGCCCGCCTCGGCCTCCCAAAGTGCTGGGCATATTTTTTATTCTCCCAGGTCTGAGTTCTGTTCTGAAAGGGAATCTGGTATACTTTAGAATCTCTAAAACTTCAGCCATGTACCTACCAACACTGAATTATAGCCCTCTCTGCATGTCACCTGCACGATTAGTAACAGAATATTTTTATTTCCTTCTTTATTCTTATAAGAAGTTTTTCTTTGGTGTGTGTTGGGGAATGGGGAGTGGGGCAGGGTCTCACTCTGTTGCTCAGGCTGGAGTGCAGTGGTGGGATCTCGGCTCACTGCAACCTCCACCTCCCAGGTTCAAGCAATTCTCTTGCCTCAGCCTCCCAAGTAGCTGGGATTACAGGCACATGCCACCATGCCTGGCTAATTTTTATATTTTTTTGTAGAGATGAGGTTTCATCATGTTGGCCAGGCTGGTCTCAAACTCCTAGCCTCAAGTGATCTGCCCGCCTCAGCCTCCCATAGTGCTGGGATTACAGGTGTGAGCCACCGCACCCAGCTTCTACTAAGAAGTATTTCTTTTTTTTTTGAGACTGAGTCTCGCTCTGTTGCCCAGGTTGCAGTGCAGTGGTGCGATCTCTGCTCACGGCAACCTCCGCCTCCTGGGTTCAAGAAATTCTCCTGACTCAGCCTCCTGAGTAGCTGGGATTACAGGCGCCTGCCTGTAGTACCCGGTTAATTTTTGTATTTTTAGTAGAGACGGGGTTTTGCCATATTGGTCAGGTTGGTCTTCAAATTCCTGTCTCAAGTGATCCACCCGCCTCGGCCTCCCAAAGTGCTGGGATTACAGGCGTGAGCCACTGTGCCCAGCCTCTACTAAAAAGTATTTTTTTTTTTTTTTTAAGACAAGATCTCACTCTGTCACCCAGGCTGGAGTGCAGTGGTGTGATGATGGCTTGCTGCAGCCTCTGCCTCCCAGGTTCAAGAGATCCTCCTACCTCAGCCTCCTGAGTAGCTGGGACTACAGGTAAGTGCCACCATGCCTGGCTAATTTTTGTATTTTTTTGTAGAGACGGAGGTCTTGTCATATTGCCCAGGCTAGTTTCAAACTCTTGGGCTCAAGTGATCTGCCCACCTTGGTCTCCCAATCTGCTGGGATTATAGGCATGAGCTACTGTGCCTGGCCAATTTTACTAAGAAATATTTCAAACACATACACAAGCATAGAGAGTATTATAATTTGCCATAATATACATTTGTGAGAATGCAAATAAGATGCCTTCAGTTTCTTACCACCAAGTCAACCCAAAGCTGCAGGAAATGTTCTGTTTATCTAATGGGAGAGCTAGGTGTAAAGAGCTAGAACACGTGGCTTACTGTGCTATGTGTTACACAGCTAAGACCCAGTATGGGGGCTCTATAAGACAACCAACACATGTGGGGTCAAACCAAACCTGGGGCTGAGCCTGGCATTTACTACAAGACTGCATTGTTGCTGACTGGGAGTCCCTCTTCCCTAACCATCTCTGGGAACTGCAAGGGACCCACCTTTTCTCAGAGGAAAGCTCAGCCTTGGGCCGGAGGCTGACATTCATCTGCATCCTCCCTAATTCCCCCATCCTATGCCTTCCTGGCAGTGCCTGGGCTGGGCTGCTCACCTCCAAAGCTGAAGATTCACTCTGGGAGTGAATCCACTTCTCCTACCCCTGCTGGGGTCTGAAGCCTGCAGCCTCCCTCCCTTCACACTCACCCGGTGGTTGTCTAGATGATCATGGTCTCTGGATGCCATGTTATCGAGGTCACTGAACACTGGCCAATCTGGGCAGGGAGAAACAGACATCATGTCCTGGTTCCACTACTGGAACATGCATTAAGACCAACCCATGGCCTAGGGCAGCCCATACCTGCCACCAAGCCATTTTTTATTTTAAGCTTTAAAGAAAGGCACAAAAAAGGAGAATGTTATCAGCACCTGGAGGTTAAAGTTCTTCCTTGAGAACTTATTCTAAGTCTACTGTTTGCCAGCTGCGTGATTCTGGCCAAGTGGTGCCACCTATGTGTGTCCTCAGGGTTGTCACAATGCAATTATCCTTGTAATGTGTTTTTCAGCATATGTGCCTGGCCACCGCTTGGTCCTCAATAAGATGCAGTTGTGAAGGAAGAAAAGACATTTGAATATTTGGGGCTCAAGAAGTGGGCCTCGGACAGCTTCAGAACCAACCATCTCCAGCTGGGGGTGGTGCCTTACGCCTGTAATCCCAGAACTTTGGGAGGCCGAGGCAGGTGGATCACCTGAGGTCAGGAGTTTGAGACCAATCTGGCCAACATAGTGAAACCCCATCTCTACTAAAAATACAAAAATTAGCTGGGTGTGGTGGCATGCACCTGTAGTCCCAGCTACTCGGAAGGCTGAGGCAGGAGAATCGTTTGAACTCGGGAGGTGGAGGTTGCAGTGAGCCAAGATCATGCCACCACATTCCTGCCTGGGTGACAGAGCAACACTCTGTCTCAAAAACAAAAAACAAAAACAAAAAAACACCAACCATCTCCTGGGGGTTCCCTATCTCTGTCTCCTGTCCTCTACAGCCAAATCTGTCTGCCTGTTTTTATAACAGGCACTGTTTGTAAGAACAGTGTTTACATTTTTAAATGGATGACAAAAATTAAATTTCACCATCTATAGAGTTTTATTGCAACACAGCCACGTCCACTCATTTAAGTATTTTTTATGGTAGCTTTCATGCTCCAAATACAGAGACGGAATGAGCTGCAAAGCTTAAAATATTTACTCTCTGGCCTTTCACAAAAGTCTGTTGACTCCTGTTCCAGACTATTCTGAAGACCTTCCAGTGGAAACATGTAAAGGGCTTCTTTAATGTTTGATACTAAAATCTTTCTCTCTTCCAAAGGTATCAAAATGAGAAAAATTAAAGAACTAAATAATAAAATCTTGCTCTCCTGCTCTGAGCCTGCTTCCGCTTACACTTTCCCTGAATACATGACTTCCATCTCTTCAGGCCAACACCCTGGGGTCAGTCTTGCCTCTATCCTTTCCTACAAACTCTCGTCTGAATCATCAGCAAACTCCATTCTTTCAGCGTCAGAAATAACAATCCTGTTTTTCTCCTTTGACCCATTAGTATCACGTTCACAGCTTTTCTAACATTGAACAATCCTCAGATTCCTGTGAAATCCCTATTTAACTGTGACAGGTGAACCTTTTAACATAGTACTATTTTTATTTGTTAATATCTATTTAGATTTTTTTTTTAAATCTATTTAGATTTTTTTGTTGTTGTTCTCTCTATATACACAAAAATTTTAAATAAGGTTGGGATATAATTTTCTTTTTTGGTATGTCAAATTTATTATATGAGTTTTGCTGGTTTCATAAAACACACTGATAAAAGTTACTTTGTTTCCTACAATAGGGGTTGTTTTTATAGCATTTGGATGATCTGTTTTGGAAGTTCACTGAATGAAACTCACCTATAAAATCACTGGGGCCATGAACCTTTTTGGTTAGCATGTCTGATTTTTCTAACATAAATGAAAGCCGGTTTAGTTCTGCTCTACCTGTCCCCTCCAATCACAGTGACTAAGGACCGAACCGTCACTCACGGAGGTGGTCTAGCTTCTGGCTGTGTGGTGTGGCCGAAGATGGAGAAGAAGGGAGAGAGTCGAAGGTCACATCACTCATGTTCTCATCTCCAGAGTTCTCTGAAAGGGGACGGAGCAGGGGTGGCCGGCTCCCAGAGAGGGTCCTTACTCGGGGGCTCCCACATTTTTCCTCTGTTCCTCTCAAGATGGTCTTGGCTGATTGCTGGGGACATTAACAGGGATACTCATGTCACGCACGCACCCTCTGGGAAATAAAGGGCTCTTCCTGTTGTTCCCTCTAGCCCTGAAACCCCTTCACCCACAGCTCCTAAACATGCCTGTTTAGTAGCTGATACATTGTCTTAAAAAATAAAAAAGCAGTAGGGGATTAAACCTAAGGCCAAGAAAGGGCATCTGGAACAGAGGCTCAGAGGACCTGCCAGCATCCCCTAAAGCCCTGACCACATTCCACAGCCCGGAGCTGGAGAAAGCATCCCACTCTATGTCCAGCATCCCAAGCTGGTCTTTGCAGCATTCTCTTGTCTCTGGTCCAAGGAGCAATGGGAGGGATGGGAGTTATCTTGGTGAGGTGCCTGGAGAGCCAGGTCCAAGACTCGTTCAGTCATTTGTCAATACATCACACAAACACACACACACCACACACCTTCTATCTCCACGTGCCTGTTCCCCTCACTCTGGTGAAATAAAATGGGCCCAACCTAGGCAGATACCAGCTGCTCGACTGTAAGGACACTCGGGAGGGCTTTGTGCACCGAGCTGGAGAGGACAGGCTGAAGCATGGGTGGGACAGATGCTTCCAGCCCAGTATTCGTCAGTTAAGCACTGCTTGACCTGGCTGTCACCACACAGGGGAGCAGGGCTTGCTTTGCGGGTAGCAGAAGGGCCTGCCAGGCCAAGCAGGGTCATACTGGGCACCCACCAGCAGCTTGGTGTTCTGATTCACCGCGTCCCTCTCCCGGGGCGAGAGGTCAAAGGGAGCAAGGCCCATGCTCTCGCAAATCCGGTTGCAGGCATGAGAGTAGAAGAAGAGCGCCATCCCACGGACACCTGTGGACAGAGCAGGGGTGTCTGGAGTGTTGCTTTGCTCTGTGACGGGGGACAGGCAGTGTGGGCCTCATACACATGGCCAGGGCAGGTATAAAATGTGCCAAGCTGGGAGGCATCAGACATCCAGGCTTCCGTCTCCATGATCTTGAAAAAGCGCATACAATGTCTCAGCCTGTTTCCTGGGCTGTACAAAGAGCTCAGAGGTTTTAGCAGGGAGTGTGGTTTCTGCGGAAACAGCCCGGCTTTCCCCACCTACCTAGGTTGCCGTCTCCAAAGTCAGTGCCCGTCTCTGTGTGGATCTGTGGGTCAGTGTAGAGATCCCCAACTCCCTGGATATCCACCACTATCAGCTGATGGCCGGAACGCTCAAACGTGAAGTGACTGAAGGCCTACGGGGCACAGGAAGGAAAATGAGATGTCAAGAGACAGGCTGAGGGCTGTGCAGGCACTGGCCACGCCTCTGCCCATGCTGAGGGGCTTTCTCTGCAAGGAGTTACATAGAGGAAAAGACAAGGAAAAAGGCCTCTCCAGTTGGGCAGGCACCTTGAGCTACAGGTCCTGTGGCCATCTTAGGTGACAGAAGCTATCATGGGGTGACGGGTGTCTCATTACAGAGTCTCCTTCTGAATGCTCCAAGAGGCTTCTCTGGGAGTGAGACTCCAAGCCCACAGGGACCTTCCTCTTTAGGGGCTGAGGCTGGCCAGGATCTCACCCCAAGGGCTGTGGTGGGCAGAGGGTGGTGGTGAGCCCGGGCCTCACCTGCGGTGTCAGGCGGATGTTGTCATCACGGACAAAGCCAGAGTTGGAATTGTACTTGATGTACTTGCCCTCGATGTAGTGCTCCAGGTGGAAGAGGGGCTTGCCCGGTCTGTCCCTCAGCTCGATGATGCACATCTGCATGATGTCCACCTGGTGGGATGGGGAGTGGGCTCAGGCGGGAGGGCCCAGGCGCACCTCCTCTGAGAAACGGCAAGGGGAGGGCTGAGAGGAACTCGCCTGCCTGGGCTCAGATCTTGGCTCCATCACTTACTAGCTCTCTATTGCCGGAGCTCCCGGTGATGCCCAGAATCTAATCTCCTCTTTTCATTTTTTTTTTAAATTAAAAAATATATATTTTTAGGCTGGGTATGGTGGCTTACATCTGTAATCCCAGCACTTTGGGAAGTCGAGGCAGGTGAATCACTTGAAGTTAGGAGTTCGAGAACAGCCTGGTCAACATGGTGAAATCCTGCCTCTACTAAAAATACAAAAATTAAGGTTGGGTGTGGTGGCTCACACCTGTAATCCCAGCACTTTGGGAGGCTGAGGTGGGTGGATCACCTGAGGCCAGGAGTTCGAGACCAACCGTGACCAACATGGTGAAACCCTGTCTCTACCAAAAATACAAAATTAGCCAGGCATGGTGGCACATGCCTGTAATCCCAGCTTCTCGGGAGGCTGAGGCAGGACTGCTTGAACCTGGGAGGTGGAGGTTGCAGTGAGTCAAGATTGCACCACTGTACTCCAGTCCTGGGCAACAAGAGCAAAACTCCGTCTCAAAAATAAATAAATAAATACATAAAATAAAAATTAAAAAACTAGCTGGGCGTGCTTGCATGTGCCTGTAATCCCAGCTACTCAGGGTGTTGAGGCAGGAGAATCACTTTAACCCAGGAGGCGGAAGTTACAGTGAGCCAAGATCACATCACTGCACTCTAGCCTGGGTGACAGAGTGAGACTCTGCCTGGAAAAAAAAATTTTTTATTTTAGAGACAGGGTCTCACTCTGTCGACCAGGCTGGAGTGCAGTGTCATAATCATGGCTCATTACAGCCTCGAACTTCTGGGCTCAAGTGATCCTCCCACCTCAGCCTCCCAGGAAGCTAGGACTACAGGCGTGTGTCACTACACGTGGCTCATATCTACATTTTTTTTTATAGAGATGAGGTCTCCAGCCTGCCCTGTAAGGTGGACTCTGCTTGGGAGCCAGAACTGATTATGTGGTCCATGGCAAACCCCTGAGGGGATGGCAGAGAAAAAAGACCAAAGGAACCAGGTCTCTAGATGGCTTCAAGGAGATGAGGCACCAGCCTACCCCAAGCCACCCACCAAAGCAAGACCTCCACACAAGTGAAAACGAAACCATTTCGTGTCTGCACATATTTTGGGTCTGTTTGCTAAGCAACTTAGACTATGCCTTACTGTAATACTGCGAATTTGGGCACATTTCTGAATTTCACCTTTATGTGCCTCAGTTTCCTTACCTGCATAAACAGGGTCTCAGACTCAGTCTGTAAATTAAAGTTATTGATGCAAAAAGGAGCCAGGCAATGTTTTCTTTTATTTTTTATTTTATTGAGACAGAGTCTCACTCTGTTGCCCAGGCTAGAGTGCAGTAGCACAATCTTGGCTCACTGCAACTTCTGCCTCCTGGGTTCAAGCAATTCCTCTGTCTCAGCCTCTCGAGTAGCTGGGACTACAGGCACCCGCCACCATGCCTGGCTAATTTTTGTATTTTTAGTAGAGACGAGTTTTACCATGTTGGCCAGGCTGGTCTTGAACTCCTGACCTCAAGTGATCCACCCCCCTGGGCCTCCCACAGTACTGAGATTACAGGTGTGAGCCACTGCGCCTGGCCACTCATTTTATTTTTATCAGGAGCTACAATTCTAGAGAAATATAAACCAACCTCTAAACAGTATTCTCCCTGCAATGGGAAATTATAGGGAACTTTGACATTCCTCGCTGATTTTTTTTTTTTTTTTTTAAACAAAGTCTATGTTTAATTTTGTACACAGAAGAAAATGTATAAATAGTGCATATGGTTTGTAAAGTGGAGTAGGGACTCTAGCTTGCACCTCTTGCCCTGTTACACAAGGACTCATCCTTGGTCTCCATGTCCCCCTCAATGCCACTTCCTGGGAGGATTAGGTCCAGGTTTCCCAAGAAAAAGACCATCCACGGAGAGTGGGTCACCAGACATGCAGACAACAGCTGCAGAGGCCGAAGGGGTCCTGATCTGAGAGGTGAGAACTTGCCCCAAATGAGGACTCAGTTGGTTCTGAGAACTGGCCTGAGGGGAAGGCAGGGAGGGGCAGTTCTCACAGGGTTCTGCCCCAAAGGCTGGTTCCATCCCTACGAGGAAACTTACAGCAGGGCCACCTGCTCGGCCAGAGGGCTCCCTGGGCGAGGGGCAGTGGCACAGCCATGGTGTACAGCCAGGACCTCCTCAAACAACCACGTCCTTCTCCCTCTCTTAAGTCAACCAAATTACTACTACTACTACTACTACTACTACTACTACTACTACTACTACTACTACTACTATTTGGGGATGGAGTCTTGCTCTGTCACCCAGGCTGGAGTGCAGTGGCCCAATCTCGGCTCACTGCAGCCTCTGCCTCTCATGTTCAAGTGATTCTCCTGCCTCAGCCTCCCAAGTAGCTGGGATTACAGGCATGCACCACCACGCCCGGCTAATTTTGTATTTTTAATAGAGATGGGGGTTTCACCATGTTGGCCAGGCTAGTCTCAAACTCCTGACCTCAGGTAAGCCGCCCATCTCAGCCTCCCAAAGTGCTGGGATTACAGGCATGAGCCACTGCGCCCAGCCTACCACATTATTATTTACTGGACACCTAGGCGCTAGGAGACAGCAGTGAACAAGATAAAATAAAATCTCTGCCTTTAGGGGAGAGAAGAACCTAAAATATTAACTAAATGAATGGCACACTAACTGCTCCAAAGAACAGAAAAAAAAAAAAACCCAGAATGATGTGGCAGAGGTGACTGGGGTAGAGGGACCGCTTCTCAGGGTGGTCTGAGATGGGCTGGCTGAGGTGACACAGGATCTGAGACCTGAGCTACAAGGAGCTAGACATGCCAGCATCATGGTGACATGAGATGCCAGCCAAGCCCACAGCCAGGGCCAAGGTTTTGGGGCAGGAACAAGCTTGTGGAGGAAGAGAAAGGAGGCCAGGCTGGAGGGCCGCGAATTGCAGAGGAAGCTAGAGCCCCCCAAGGTGGGGACTGTGGCTTCTTGTGCCTGTCCCAAGTATGCTTCATCAAGGGCCCTGCAAACAGCAGGTGCTCAATAAATCCTGCACACCCAGGAGACTGTGCCTTGTATGTAGGAGATGCTCAAGCTGTGGGAGATCTGAGGTATGGGCTCATGCAGGGCAGAGGCATGGATCCTTCCTCAAATGCCCAAAGGCAACAGGGAATTCTGCTTGGCCTCAGTCACTCATCACCCTAGGGACTCAAATGAAGGTGCCAACCTAGCAGGGGGTTGAAAAGCCTGCATTTGAGCCCTGGCTCCAGCTCTGCCTGGTTGGGCAAGTCATTTAGCCTCTTTGAGCCCGGGGTCCCCAAAGAGTGGACATAGTATCCAATCTGACACGGTTTGGCTGTGTCCCCACCCAAAGCTTATCTTGAATTGTAGCTCCCATAATTCCCTGGTGTTGTGGGAGGGACCTGGTAGGAGATAATTGAATCATGGGGTGGTTCCTCCATACTGTTCTCACAATAGTGAATAAGTCTCACAAGACTGATGGTTTTATAAGGGGAAACCCCTTTCGCTTGGTCCTCAGTCTCTCTTGTCTGCCACCAGGTAAGATGTGCCTTTTGCCTTCCACCATGATTGTGAGTCCTCCCCAGTCATGTGGAACTGTGAGTCCATTAAACCTCTTTTTCTTTTATAAATTACCCAGTCTTGGATATGTCTTTCTCAGCAGTGTGAAAACGGACTAATATACATTACCAGCACTTTCTTCTGCTTTTTCTTGGGAATCTCACCTTTTCCAGTCTCAGTCCCTGTGATCTGGGTGGAACACCTACATTCCTAGCTCTAAGGGCAGGCACATGGCTAGGGTGTGCCCAGTCTGCATATTCCCACCCGTTGGCCACTGTGATTGGTTCGGCAATAGGAATCTGACCTAATCAGAGCCAATGAAACCCAGCTCCGGGACTTTTATTGGAACTTCTGGGAAAATAAGTTTTGTCATTCTAACAAGAACTTGGGCCTGCTGGGGGCCAGAGTGCTACCACAAGTGCAGAAGCTGCCTGAGAATGACGCCAACCCAGAAGGACACCCAGGTCAGAGATGGAGGAAGATTCTGACAACCTCACTTTAATCCTGAATCCAGCCATGCCTGTGGCCAGCATTATTTTTCAGTTACATAAGGCAATGAATTCTCTTTTTCGATTAAGCAGTTTGAGTGGGTTTCTGTCATTTGCAAACACAAATCCTGACTAATAGATCCCATCTGTAATTGAGGATAAAACGTTCCAACCTCAGAGCTGTTTTTAGGAATAAATGACTTTGGAACAGGAGCAATGGCTCATGCCTGTAATCCCAGCCCTTTGGGAGGCCAAGGTGGGTGGATTGCTTGAGGCCAGGAGTTTGAGACCAGCCTGGGCAACATGGCAAAACCCTTTCTCTACAGAAAATACAAAAATTAGCTAGGCATGGTTGCATGCCCCTGTAGTCGCAGCTACTCAGGAGGTGGAGCTGGGAGGATTGTTTGAGTCCAGGAGGTTGAGGCTGCAGTGAGCTGTAATCACGCCACTGCACTCTGGCCTGGGCAATAAAGAAAGATCCTGTCTCAAAATAAAATAAAATAAAATAAATGACTTGGTTCATCACGCTCAGTAAACAGTGGTTGTTATTAGCTACTATGAAGAAGGTGAAAGAGGTCGGGTATGGTGGCTTACACCTGTAATCCCAGCACTTTGGGAGGCTGAGGCAGGCAGATCGCTTGAGGTCAGGAGTTTGAGACCAGCCTGGCCAACATGGTGAAACCCCATCTCTACTAAAAATACAAAAATTAGCCAGGCATGGTGGCAGGCACCTGTAATCCCAGCTGCTCAGGAGGCTGAGGCAGGAGAATCACTTGAACCCAGGAGATGGAGGTTGCAGTGAGCCAAGATCACACCACTGCACTCCAGCCTTGGTGGTGGTGGTGGGTGACAGAGCAAGACTTCATCTCAAAAAAAAAAAAAAAAAAAAAAAAAAAAAAAAAAAAAAATGCACTGGCACTCACTGCACTCCAGCCTTGGGGGTGTGTGTGTGCATAAGATGACTTCACTCCCCAAAAAAAAAAACAGAAGATGAAAGAGAGGGACCCACTCATGGCTCTCTCTTTCTCAGACACTGTGCACAGCTGTTTGGCAACAGGTGGGGGGCAGAAGTGGCCATTGACCTGCTTGGGGGCTTTCTTGAAAACGCAAAACACATACTCCTCCCAGAGCTTGGCCTCACCAGACGCACGTCCTCAAAGTATAAGCATCCTGCCTATTACTGGTCATGTGGTGGAAGCGCTTCGCCACGTAGCTGGAGGCTCCTTCCACTGCTGGGCGGCAGGAAGTTGGAGAGCTTCTTCCTGTGAGAGGCAGCAGGGGCTCACTGGGTACTCTGGGGTTCACCAGGGACACAACTGGTCCTCTCAGACAGCAAGACCTTGTCTGACCTGGGATGGTGGCTGGCGCAGAACAAAATACAGGAACTAGGAAGGATTTGCCCCTCTGCATCTTCAAAGAATTGGGATGGGGATTAAAGGTCACTGTTAAATGTCTCCAACTTACTTTGACCTCCCAACACCAGGGGCAGAGGAGTGGGGTGCTCCTATTCTCCTGAGCCCATCTTCAAGCAGCCAGGCCCAACGTGGTGGGCCCGAGGGAGATCTGGTGATGGAGAGGAACCTCGGCTGAAGGCAGGAGGGGACCGTGGCTCCATTCCTTGGCTGCAAATGTCCTTAATGCCTCAGCTCTGAGGAGCCTGGGGACTCTGGGCAGGGGCCCCAAGAGTCAGGCTGAGTCACTCTACGTCCGAAGCACTCCTCATTGCCCGGCCGAAGGGGCTGAAAGACACCATATAGAGCATTGGCCAGTCCCCATGCCCCACCCGCAAGGGGACCCAAGACAGGAGGTGCTCCCTGCATGCCACTCCACTTCAAATGGGTGCCCCTGGGCCTTCCTTCTCAATCCTGAAATTCCCGGGATCTCTCTCCTATGTCCTGGCAGCACCAAAGCCAGAGGCCTTCCTGAGAGACTGAAGCGAGATGACAAGGACCCCCTACCTCTCCATCCAGCTATGGAGGGGAAGAACCCACGGGGCAGGATGTTGGGGAGGGACAGTGCATCTCAGAGGACATTTTCACAGCCCGGACTTTAGAAGAAAAAAAGTGGAGACAACTCACGTGTCCAGCAACGATATACTGGAAAACTCAACCAGGCTTCGATTCCTTCAACAAATACTCATGCAGCAATGAAAAAAACCAACGCAAACTGTTCAAAAGAACACCTTGCAGCACCAGGAGGCAGTGGCTTATGCCTGTAATCCCAGAATTTTGGGACTGAGGCAGGAGGATCGCTGAGGACAGGAGTTCAAGACCAGCCTGGGCAACATAGCAAGACCTCCCTCTCGCTGTGGGGACCTAAGGCTGGGCACAGTGGCTCATGCCTGTAATCCCAGCACTTTGGGAGGTCGAGGTGGGTGGATCACTGAGGTTGGGAGTTCGAGGCCTGACCAATATGGAAGAGAAACCCAGTCTCTACTAAAAATACAAAAATTAGCCAGGTGTGGTGGTGCATGCCTGTAATCCTAGCTACTAGGGAGGCTGAGGCAGGAGAATTGCTTGAACCCAGGAGGCAGAGGTTGCAGTGAGCCAAGATCGGCACCATTGCACTCCAGCCTGGGTAAGAGAGCAAAACTTTGTCTCAAAAAAATTTTTTTAATTGACTGAGTGTACGGTGCACACCTGTAGTCCCAGCTACTCAGGAGGCTGAGGTGGGAGAATTGCTTGAGCCTGGAGTTCAAGGCTGCAGTGAGCAAGATCATGCACCACTACACCCCAGCCTGGGCAGCAGAGCAAGACCCCTGCCTCCCAAAAAGAATACGGTTTTACGCTCCTACGTATTTGAAATAAAAATAGGCAAAAGCAATCTAGGGTGATAGGATTCAGAGTGGTGTGCTACCCTGTGGGTATGGGGGAGTGATGAGAGGGCTTGGGGCAGGCCAAGGCTCTCCCGTTTGTTGATATGGGCTGCTGTAAGGCAGTGTAAATACCTTGTGACAACTCAGTGAGCTGTACACTTTTCTGTGTTTCTGTGTATATTGTATATTACACTAAAACAAAGCTTCTGCCAAAGCAATCCTAACCTCAATATGTGCAGGAAATACTATTGTCTTTATCTTTTTTGTTTCAAAAGGTTGGCTGGGCTCTGGTGTGGTGGCTCACACTATAATCCCAGCATTTAGGGAGGCCAAGGCAGGAGGATCATTTGAGCCCAGGAGTTTGAGACCAGCCTGGGCAGCATAGTGAAATCCATGTCTCTATAAAAAATAAAAAAATTAGCCAGGCATGGTGGTGTGTACTTGTGGTCCCAGCTACTTGGGAGGCTAAAGTTGGGAGGATGCTTGAGCCCAGGAGGTCAGTCAAGGCTGCAGAGATCGTGATCGTGCCACTGCACTCCTGGGTGATAAAGACCCGGCCTCAAAAAAAAAAAAAATGTTGCAACCAATAAATAAATAATAACATAGAATCCCCCGGTTACAAAATTAAACAAAGTGGGAGTGGGAGGCTGCACATAGACTCAAAGTCAGCTGCAGAAAGTCTTTGTCATGCCAGCCCTCAGCCCATGGGGGATTCAAGGCCCTGCTCACCTGAGACGCCCATCTTGATCAGAACTCATCAGCCATTCCCCTCGGCACAGCGCGTACCTGCAGAGACCCACCCACTCCCAGGCACGTGTCCATCACATGGTCCTGTTCCTCACTGGCTAAAGCCCAAAGACCCTTCTGCTCTATGGGCCTCGAACCAACCCACTCTCCACCTTGGTTTTCACAGCCCACCCAACCTTCTGCTGGGTTGGAAACACTGTCCCTCCTCCCAAGTCCCAACACACCAGTCTCCGATCCTTCTCAAACCCACTGCTCCCCTCTCTCTACCATGTCCATTTCTGGCATCATCCCCAGCTCTCACTGCTGTGCTGCTTACTGGCTTGTTCTGCATCTGGGGCCCCCAACACTGTAACCCTGTCAAAGCAGACCCATATCTGTCTTGGTCACCCAGACCTGGTGTATGGAAGCTTAATAAATACACATAGCTGGGCCTCGGTGGCTCACGCCTGTATTCCCAGCACTGAGACTGGGCAAGTGGATCACAAGTGGTTAGAGTTTGAGACCAGCCTGACCAACACATGGTGAAACTGCATCTCCTACTAAAAAATACAGTTAGCTAAGTTGGTGGTGGCGCATGCCTGTAATCCCAGCTACTCAGGAGGCTGAGGCAGGAGAATCGCTTGAACCCAGGAGGCGGAGGTTGCAGTGAGCTGAGATCGTGCCATTGCACTCCAGCCTGGGGTGACAGAGCGAGATTCTGTCCTTAACAAATAAAAAAATAAAAATAAAAATAAATACACAAGGTGGATGAATGACTGAATAAATAATATCCTGATCATAACTGGTCTCTGTAACGACGGCATGGGCCCAGAGCGGGAAGGTGGGTGGTGGTGCCCTCAATCTTTCCAGGCAGCTGGGCACACTTGAGAAGCAACAGCCACACACAGTGGCGGTAAGGGTTCCTTCCGCCTCTGAGTCCAGACAGGAGAAGGGGCCAGAGGTGTAGGGGTAGGAAAGGAGTGATCTCTTCCTCCCCACAGGTTGGTCATGACAACAGCCCAGTTTGCAGGGACATGGAAGTTTCAGACTGAAGACTCAAAGTGATACAGAGGAACTGATCCGGATTATGCTGAGGTTCAGTGAAGCAGGGATGGTGTGGAGCAATGTGATTGGGCAAAAAGTGATGAGCCAATGGTAACAGACTGAGTGGGCTAAAGCAAGGTTTGTTCCGATCTCTTCTTGGCCGCTCTGTTACAGCATTTGCTTCTTGGGTATGGGTAGACTTTGAATGAGGATCTGAGTCCCATAATCTATTTATGGTCAGCTATTGCACAGAAAGTTTGTGTAAGGTTAGAGAATTTTTTTTTTTTTTTTTTTGACACAGAATCTCCACACCCAGGCTGGAGCAGGAGCAATCTTTGGCTCACTGCAACCCGCTCTTGGGTTCAAGCAATTCTCCTGCTTCAAGCCTCTGAGTAGCTGGGATTACAGATGCCACCATACCCGGCTAATTTTTTTTTTTTTGTATTTTTGTAGAGAAGGGGTTTCACCATGGGCCAGGTTGGATCTGAACTCCTGGCCTCAAGTGATCCACCAGCCTTGTCCCAAAGTGCTGGGATTATAGGATGGGGAGCCCACTGCACCTGGCCTAGGAGAGGATATTTTTAAGTTTATGGCTGGCTTTGGGGAAAAGGGGGTCTGAATGTAATGCACTGGTAGTGGGGAAAGGCAAATTTGCTTTATTTTGTTTTTTTTTTTTTTAGACAGGAGTCTCACTCTGCCCAGGCTGCAAAGTTCGGTGGCAACTCAGCTCACTGCAACCTCTGTCTCCTGGGTTCAAGCGATTCTTCTGCCCTTCAGCCTCCGAGTAGCTGGATTTTCACAGGCGCGCACATGCCCAACTAATTTTTGTATTTTTAGTAGAGACAGGGTTTCACCATATTAGCCAGGCTGGTCTCGAACTCCTGATCTCGTGATCCGCCCATCTCAGCCTCCCAAAGTGCTGAGATTACAGGCATAAGCCATCGCGCCCGGTCAATTCTAGTTTTTATGGCTTCAAGTGTGACAAAATGAGGGGTGAGAGACAGAGGGCAGGAGAAGGTCAAAGAAAGGTTGTTTTTTAAGCTTCTCACTTTGGGGGTATCATTTGAGCCCCAATACCAGGTTGATGGTAAATATATATTTTGTTTTAGACCTACTTCTGGTATGCAACTTTGAAAGTCCTTAACTTCAGTGATGTCTTTTTTTTTTTTTTTTTTTTTTTTTTGACTGAGTCTCACTCTGTCACCCAGGCTGGAGATAGTGATGGCCAGCTCACTGCAACCCCTGGCTCCCAGGGTTCAAGCAAGTCTCCTGCCTCAGCCTCCTGAGAAAGCTGATAACAGGCGCCCCACCACCACACCTTGGCTAAATTTCTTCTTTTGTATTTTTAGAAGAGAGACGGTTTGACCATGCTGGTCAGGCTACGAACTCCTGACCTTAAGATCCACCTACCCCGGCCTCCCAAAGTGCTGAGATTACAGGTTTGAGCCACCATGCCCAGCCTCTCAACCCTTTGTAACATCCTTCCTTATAATAAACCAGTAAATATTAGCGTTTCCTGAGTTCTGTGAGAGCTGCCCAGTGTGTTAATCAAACTCAAGGAGAGGGCTGCGGGAACCCTGATTTATGTTGCCAGAAGCACAGGTGAAACCACTTGGGGCTATGATCAGCAGTGAAAGTCAGGGATGTCTTTGGAGGACTGAGCTTCAACCTGTGGATCTGATGCTATCTCCAGGTAGATGGGTGCTGAGAGTTGAATTGCACTGTGATGTTCGTAATCAGCCCTCTAATTCCTTCCATTAGGAGGAAGAGTAATTAGAGGCACATCTGCTGTATCCATTGCAGATGATTGCTTGTGGGCAGGGAGAAACCCCACACATTTTGAGCCTGCTGAAGCATTCGTGCTGTAAGGATACAGTAGGTGAAATTAAGGGGTTTTTGCCAAAAAGATAGGTGCATACCTGCTGCAGAGACAGAGCTTGGAGAGGGTCTCGGGAAACATTCATCTCTCCTTTCCCAGTGTAAATCAGCTCCTGGCCTGGCCAGAGAGTCTTTACACAAGTTTGCCTGCTGGTGGAAATCCTCCTGGGCTTAATGATCTTGCAGTAAAGTTTGAAACCTCCCTCGGGCTGAGGTGTTCTTAGCCTCCAGGTGAGGCTCCCTGGCGCACCTCTCAGCCTAGGCAGACTCCAGAACACCCCACCGGGTGAGAACAGGTTTCCCACAGTCCGACGCTCCACCAGGAAAAAAAAAAAAAAAACAAGCAGAGGCCTGGCAGGTTAACCCCTCAGGCTCAGAGGGAGGGAAGCTCTCCAGAACTGCATAAGAAGTTGGCAACTGGTACCCAGGGCAAGTACAGTTGACGCTGAATGACATGGGTTTGAAGTGCGGTCTACTGAGTAAGTGGACTTTCTTCAATCAATGGGTTGGAAAATGTTTTAGAGATTTGCAACAATTTTACTTTATTTTTGAGATGGAGTGTTACTCTGATGCCCAGACTGGAGTGCAGCAGTGCTATATCAGCTCACTGCAACCTCCACTTCCTAGGTTCAAGTGAGGGATTCTCCTGCCCCCGCCTGAGCAGCTGGGATTACAGCAAGCCAGCCACCACGCCTTGGCTATGGCTAATTTTTGTATTTTTAGTAGAGATGGGGTTTCACCATGTTGGCAGGCTGATCTTGAACTCCTGACCTCAAGTGATCTGCCCATCTCAGCCCCCCAAAGTGCTGGGGTTACAGGTAAGAGCCACCGCACCCGCCAGAGATCTCCAACAATTTAAAAAAAACTATTCAGTCTAGCCTGTCTAATAGGTACCTTAGAGAACCACGGAAGGATTCAGTGAGGCAATGCACCCGGCCTTAAGCACATGCAATAACACTCCAATATTAGCGGTTATGATTATCTCCCCTGGAAGAGTACGTGCTTAGGGGCCTCACTGATTGGGAGCAGAAACTGACATGGCTCAGGACTCTTTCACCCAGCACCAGCTGCTGACCTGTGTCGAGTAGCACGTTCGGTGGCAATGTCTTCTAGGTGGAACTCAGCCCAGGGTCGTGGGGCAGGCATGTGCTTGGCCTTCGATTAAGGGGTGCTTCCAGGCTTCCTATGGAAGCAAAGGAAGAACATCAGGCCCAGGTCAGGACTTGGGGAGCAGTGTAAATTCCTCCCACCACTCCTCTGAGAGGCAGATGGTACTGTGGACAGAGAGAGACTCCTGTCTAGTAGCCTTCGGGCTTCTCTGCACCTTCACAGGCATACCTCCTGTGGGCAGACATGGCACATCTTAACTACACAAACACTTGGAACAATGAGTTGAAAATGAAAATAGGTACCATTCCCTTCATCTAGTTGGCAGACATTTCATCTTTATATATATATTATATATATACACACACACACTATATATATTATATAGAATATATATGTATACACACACACAACAGGTAATATATATAAGGAGTAGAGAGAGAGAGAGAAAAAAAATAACATCTACAGAGGCAGTAGAAACAGAGTCTTGTCACCGTGCAGGGGCTGGAGTGCAGTGGGCGCAGATCTTGGCTCACTGTGTCCACTCCCGGTTCAAGTGGGTTCTCATGCTTCAGCCTCCAAAGTAGGGGGCTGGGCTTAGGCATAACACCATGCCTGGCTATACCTTTGCATTTTTGGATAGAGACAAGGTTTCGACTACGTTGGCCAGGCTGGTCTCAAACTCCTGACCTCAAGTGATCCCCGCACCCTGGCCTCCCAAGTGATGAAATTACAGCTATAGCGCCAACAGTTTGGCCCTTTTTTTTTTTTTTTTTTTTTTTTTTTTGAGATAGGGTCTTACTCGGCCCAGAGGCTGGAGTGCAGTGGTGCAACCTCGGCCCGCCGCTGCAACCCCGCCTCCCGGATTCGAAGCAATTCTCCCACCCCAGCCTCCCTGAGTAGCTGACTTACAGGTGCACACCACTAATCTGCTAATTTTTGTACTTTTGGTAGAGACGGGGCTTTGTCATGTTGGCCAGGTGGGCTGTCAAACTCCTGACCTCGGCGGATCCACCCACCTCGCCTCCCAAAGTGCTGGGATTACAGCAGGTTGGCAATTATTTTAATAGGATGAAACATTTTAGCTTGTGCAGGCCTGGGTATCAGGGAATGGGTATCCTCACATACCATCAGGGGGTATAAAACTTTTCTAGGGTTGGGTGCGGTGGTGATCTCCGTCACTGCAACCTCCGCCTTCCCAGTTCAAGCGAGTCTCCTGCCTCAGCCTCCGGAGTAGCTGGGATTACAGGCATGCACCCACCTTTTTTTTTTTTTTTTTTTTTTTTAAAGTAGAGATGGATTTCACCTAAGTGTTGGCCAGGCTGGTCTCAAACTCCTGACTTCTTGGATGATTCATCTGCTTGGCCTCCAGCATTGGGATTACAGGCGTGAGCCACCATGCCCGGCCACTCTAAGTAGGTTTTGTGGAGTAGATTTGGGAGTTCTTTTGGGTCCCTGCCAATGATGGGGTGGTGGGCACTGCTGGTGCATAGGAGTTAGGAAGGCCAATACAGCAACCCTGAAACAGGGCTGTTCAGGGTTGAATTTCCTGCATCCCACAAGACCTTGTACAGCTCAGGAATCGTTTACAATTATCTGAGGCCAGAGTTAAGCCCTATGTTATGTGTAAAGGCAGCATATCCTTTGGGAGGCTGAGGTGGGAGGATCGCCAGGCCAGAAGTTCAAGACCACCTCTGCAATATGGTGAGACTCCAATCTCTACAGAGATAATTAAAACATTAACAGGGTATGGTGGCTCAACCTGGGGTCCCAGCTATTCAGGAGGCTGAGGTGAGAGGATCACCTGAGCCATGATCATGCCACTTCACTCTGGCCTGGGCACGAGGTGACCCTGTCTCTTTTAAAAAAAAAAAAAAAAAAATTTAAAGGCAAATACATCTTTGGCATGGTTCTAACATGCTCTGAGCTTAGAAATGTATGTTATCTGCAAATTACATATAGGCCAGTAAAATGGGGTGTTATACAATATTTATTATAAAAGGAAATCATTGGGTCTATTAGGGCTGAAGAATTTCCACCAGAGATGCAGCAGCCTTTTTTTTTTTTTTTTTTTTTTTTCTCTGAGACAGGGTTTCCCTCTGTCACACCTAAGCTGGAGGTGCAATGGTGGTCTGGTCATAATCTCTCTGCCTCCCTGGGTTCAAGCAATTCTCCTCCCCAGCCTCCCAAGTAGCTGGAAGCATGCGCCACCATGCCTAGCCTAATTTTTAGTAGGAGCTAGTAGAGACAGGGGTTTCACCTGGCCAGGCTGGTCTCAAACTCCTGACCTCAGGTGATCCACCCGCCTTGGCCTCCCAAAAATGCTGGGGTTGGGATTACAGGCTTGAGCCACCACGTCTGGCCCTTGTTTTGTTTTTTAAATAGGGATAAGGTCTCTCTCTGTTGTCCAGGCTACGTGGCAGTTGTGTAATCATAGCTCTCTGCAACCTAAATTCCTGGGCTCAAGCGATCCTATTCAGCCTCTTGAGTAGCTGGGACTACACTTACGTGCCACCATGCCCAGCTAATTTTTTAATTTTGATTTTTCTTTTGCAGAGATGGGTTGCACTATGTTTGTTGCCCAGGCTGGTCTCGAACTCCTGGCCTCAAGTGATCCTCCTGCCTCAACCTCCCAAGGCACTAGGATTACAGACATGAGCTGCCGCGCCTAGGCTGCTGGGGCTTTTTCACTGCTGCAAAGTTCAAAAAATAAAGTCTGTAATTCTTTTCTTCTATTTTGGTAGCTAATTTAGGCTTAATTTAAAAACTGGAAAATACAGAAGACAAAGAAAAGTCAAATCCACCACATATCATCCTCTGGAGCAATAGTCAATGCTGTGGACTAATTCTTTTCCGGATCTTCTATATGCTGTTTTGTTTTGTTTTTTGTTTTGTTCCCCCTCGCCCCAGACAGAGTCTCCCTCTGTCACCCAGGCTGGAATGCAGTGGTGTGATCTTGGCTCACTGCAACCTCCTGGGTTCAGGCAATTCTCCTGCCTCAGCCTTCTGAGTAGCTGGGATTACAAGCGTGAGCCACCATGCTTGGCTAATTTTTGTATTTTTAGTAGAGACGGGGTTTCACCATGTTGGCCAGGCTAGTTTTGAATTTCTAACCTCAGGTGATCCACCCGCCTTGGCCTTCCAAAGTGCTGGGATTACAGACATGAGCCACCGTGCCCAGCCTACATGCATTTTTTAATAAGATTGGTATCATACTGTAAAATATAATTTACCTCCTTTCAGGAGAGTGGGTTAATGGGACTTTGTGCTTTATTTAGTGATCTTGTTTTTTTTTTTTTTTTCTGATTCCAAAGTATGATCTACATCACATAAAAACTGCAAGCACTATAGAACTCTGAATTAGAAAGCGGAAGTCCACCCTAATCCACTTCCTCTGAAAACCACAGTTGACAGTTGATGTAGACATTCTGCAAAATTTTTTCCTATGTCTCTGTGAACACAAACACGTACTTAAGAGCAATTTAGGCCGGGTGTGGTGGCTCACACCTGTAATCCCAGCGCTTTGGGAGGCTGAGGCGGGCGGATCACAAGATCAGGAGTTTGATACCAGCCTGGCCAACATGGTAAAACCCTGTCACTACTAAAAATACAAAAATTAGCTGGGCATGGTGGCACAAGCCTGTAATCCTAGCTGCTTGGGAGGCTGAGGCAGGAGAATCGCTTGAACCCAGGAGGTGGAGGTTGCAGTGAGCCAAGGTTGCATACCTGCACTCCAGCCTGGGCAACACAGTGAGATTCCATCTCAATAAATAAATAAATAAATATAAAAATAAAAAGAAAGAGCAATTGGACCACACCACATGTTCTGTTGTGCATCTGACCTTTCTTAATGCAAGATCTTGGACATCTTTCCATGTCATATGTGCAGACGGGCTGAGTGACCTCCTTTCATTCCAGAACTGCCAGATACATAGTTATATAAATGTACCTTAAGGTATTTGTCTAACCTCCAGTTGAATAATGTTTGGATTCTCTCCAACATTTCCTAGTACAAACAGTGCTGAAGTGAACATCTTCCTATCCAAATCTTTGTGCGCATGTGCAAGATCTCAGAAGGACATACTTTTTGGGAAATGTAACTGCTGGATCTCATTTAAAATCTATAAATGACTGAGTTCTCCGCCAAAAAATTTATCCTAAGTTATACTCCAAGAAGCAGTATACAAATCACTAAAATTTTTTTGGCACAGGCAGTACATTGGATAACTATATAATTTACAAGTTATTTGCATCCTGCTTTAATAGTTGCATAATAATTTACTGTAGAACTTTATTCTTATTGACTTAATTATTCACTTGTTGCTCTCCACTGTTAGGCTTCAAGCTTATCACTGATTGTACCCTGTTGTAAATAACTCCACAGCAGACATGTGTACGTCTAAAACATTTTTCTGAATTTCGGTCCCTGTTCTTTTTTTTTTTTTTTTTTTAGATGGAGTCTGGCTCTGTCACCCAGGCTGGAGTGAAGTGGCGTGATCTCGGCTCACTGCAACCTCTGCCTCCTGGGTTCAAGCGATTCTCCCGCCTCAGCCTCCTGAGTAGCTGGGACTACAGGCGCGCGTCACCACGCCCAGCTAAAAATACAATAAGTATTTTTAGTAGAGACAGGGTTTCATCATGTTGGCCAGATGGTCTCAATCTCTTGACCTTGTGATCCGCATGCCTCGGCCTCCCAAAGTGCTGGGATTACAGGCATGAGCCACCGCACCCAGCCCCTGTACTTTTTTCTTAAAGAGACAGGGTCTTGCTCTGTCACTCAGGCTGGAGTGCAGTGGCGTGATCATAGCTCACCACAGCCTCAAACTCCAGGGTTCAAGTGATCCTCCTGCTTCAGCTTCCCAAATAGCTGGGATGACAGGCATGTGCCACCATGCCTAATTTTTTAAATTTCTGTACAGACGGGACCTCAACATGTTGCCCAGGCTGTTCTCAAACGTCTGGGCTCAAGTGATCCTCCTGCCTTGGCTTTCCAAAGTGCTGGGATTACAGGCATGAGCCACTACACCCAGCCCAATCCCTGTATCTTAAAGCACCACAGTCTCATATTCCAGCTGC